GATCAACAAGCTGCGCGACAACGTATAGCGTCTAGGTTGCGCATGCTTTGCATTGGGCGGCGTTGCGGAACTACAATTGGATTAGCATGGGAATGGCGCACATGTGGGAAGACAGTTATGAGGCAGGAATTTAAAGGATCATTGCCAAGGACATACCCGGGTTTTGGCAGAGAAGCGATTCGCTTCAGGGATATCATAGAAATCACATCGAGCATTGTCAGGACTACTCGTCCAGACCAGAGCAGCTCAAAATATACAACACCTCATATTATTCCCAGGACCAGTCCAACCAGCTCGCTGAAAGCTCCCCTCCCAACCATACTCTTATCTAAACCCATGCCCAATACAACCATCCTTGACTCTCGTTCGTCACGTTGCTTGATTGCGCTAGCGACTTGGGTTGCAAGCGTCTGCCCAAGCGTGTCAAGTTCTGGTATAGTGCCGCCCAGTATAGTTGTAGCCGTTAGTTGGTGCATAGGCAAGAGATCCGAACTTGGATCCTCCTCCTCGCGCTCGAGGTAGGAATTGGATGTTATTGATGCATCCGTCGCTGTGATATCGAGTGGAACGTGTACCTGCATTGTTGTAGTTAGTGGATATTGCTCTAGTATAGTACAACGTTTCTTTTTATACCCAATGCGCTAGTCGGCCTTGCTGCGTAACTGTGATGAGTATCTTGTCGGCAAAGCTGACGGCCGTTGCCGTCGTTTCCAACCCATTTATGGCTACAGTCGCTGTCTTGGTGTGCGCGGGATAGGCCGCTGGTGTCACAACGTAGTCATCTGAATTGACTGTTGCTGGCATATTGCTATGAGGTGTGTCGTGCTGAAGTGGGGTGATGGCGAGAAGAAGAGTTGGCCCACCTGAATGCGTCGTCTGTTACTGGCCGCGGGAGTGATGCGGAGAGTCGACGCTAGCGTCTGATCCCCGCCAAAATTATTTCGGGCGCATGCGAGCAGACTTCGCCGCCATCACCCGCCCAGTATGCCCAAGTTTGTGCCCCGGCAGCGAAAGCACAAGGTCCTTGCCCGTCGCAAAAATGCTGCCGACCCAAGCAATGGCGTCGATGATGCCAACACGGCTGAGATATTGCCTGTTGAGCAACAGGAACGCAATGCGAAAAAGGCAGCGCTGAAGGAAGAGCTCACGCGCGAAGCGCAGGGCAAAATGTCTAACAAAAAGAAAAAGCGCCTCGAAAAATACATTGTATGTCACCTTGCGCCCCAGTTGCTTCGCACTTACAAGCACGACTAACCCACCTAGGATACCAAACTCAAGAAAGAAGAAAGCCTTGAGCTGCTGAAAAAGCTTGCCGCCCAGAAAGTCGACACTACCTTATTCCAGAGTTCAAAGAAGCTTGGCCGAGGAGCAGATACAAAGAGAGAAGCTTTGAGGCGTGCGCTGGCCGAAAGCCGGGCTGGGATAGATGTGGACAAAAACCAGGAATTGTTACTGGAGGAGCGCGAAGTTAGAGATATTGAGGACGACAGTTCAGATGAAGCAGAGCAGGTACCAGCCCCTGTATCGCACTCCGTACCCAAATCCACTGCGCGGCAGGCCGCAGCAAAATCAGCACATGAGAACGAAGTATCACGAGAACGCGCGCAGTCACCGTCGCCATCCGAACCGGAAACCGACACCCGCCAGTCCACGCCCGAGCTCCCTGCAGTACCACAACAGACAAACGGTCTTTTTGGAAGTGGGTTGAAGAGGCCTCTGGAACTGGATGATTCAGGCAAGCCAGTAATACAAGTCCGAAAGCGTCGCAAGGGCCAAACTACTAAACCAGTTGCAATTGAAGAAGAAGAAGTAGAATGGGAGGGTTTTAGCTCAGCCGAGGAGGACGACAGTCAAATGGACGAAGACGATTCAGCGACCTCCAGCGCGGAGTCTGAAGATGAAGGCTCCGATTCCGAGGAAGGTGATTCTTCGGGATCAGAGCAAAGCGGATCAGAAGAGGACTCCGAAGACGAAAGCGACGAAAGCGACACCAGTCTGGATGAAGACAAAAAGCTTGCAAAGAAGGAAAGAACATCAGCCTTCAAGGCTTGGGCAACGCAGCAAAGAAACGAACAAGTAGGCTTCACTCCGACTAACCAACTCTCTTTCGCGCCCACCCCAGCGAACTTCAAACCTCGAGCCCTCGAGCAGGATCCTCTACCTCCTGAACTCGAAACGAAAACGAAGACTGATGCTACTCGCAAAGCATTCAGTGTAAACGTCGATCGATCGCCCGAGATACAAGAGTCGAGAATGCAGTTACCGATTGTTGCTGAAGAACAAAAGATCATGGAGGCGATACACAACAACGACGTAGTGGTAGTTTGGGGTTCCACTGGTAGCGGTAAAACTACTCAAGTACCACAATTTCTTCTTGAGTCAGGCTATGGAGCAGCCGACGGACCAACGCCGGGCATGATCGGGGTCACTCAACCACGCCGTGTAGCCGCTGTCAGCATGGCAAAACGTGTTGGTGATGAGCTTGGAGATCAAGGTTCTAAAGTGGCGTATCAGATCCGCTTTGATACAACCACAAGCGCTAAAACTGCTATCAAGTTCATGACTGATGGTGTCTTGCTACGAGAGATAACTCAGGACTTCGTCCTGACAAAGTACTCCGCAATTGTGATTGACGAGGCCCACGAGCGTAGCGTCAATACCGACATTCTCATCGGCATGCTCAGCAGAATAGTTGATCTCCGAGCTCAGATGGTGAAAGATGATCCCAAAAACAAGCCCCTGAAACTGATCATAATGTCGGCTACTCTACGCATATCGGATTTCACAGAAAACAAGCGCTTGTTTAGAAGCGAACCTCCACCACTCATCAAGGCCGAAGGTCGCCAATATACCGTTGTGAACCACTTCGCGCGTCGTACTCAACGAGACTACGTTGAGGAAATGTACCGAAAAGTGTGTAGGGGCCACCGAAAGTTGCCCAAGGGCGGTATGCTCGTCTTTCTTACCGGTCAAAACGAGATTTCGCAGTTAGCGAAGCAATTGAAGCAAGCTTTCCCATCTACTCAGGGCAAAGAGATCAAAGCCGGCAAGGTTGTTGTTTCTCCAGCAGAAACACCGTTGGAAGTCGAGGACATTGAACTGGGCGCGCCAACCAAGTCAAAAGACTACGAAGACGATGATGGTTCAGACTCTGAAGGTTCGATAATAATGGGCCTTGACGACGATGACGACAAAGAATTCGAGATCGAAGATGAGAAGCCTGAAGAAACCGTCATGAATGTTCACGTTCTGCCGCTTTATTCACAGTTACCTACCAATCAACAACTACGCGTCTTCGAATCACCCCCAGATGGCTCTCGTCTCATCGTTCTCGCCACGAACGTTGCCGAGACCAGTTTGACAATACCTGGCATACGCTACGTCTTTGACTGTGGAAGGGCAAAAGAAAAGAAGTATGATCCTGTTACTGGGGTACAAAGCTTTGAAGTCGGTTGGATCAGCAAGGCCAGTGCAAACCAGCGTTCTGGTCGTGCGGGTCGTACTGGACCTGGTCACTGTTACCGCTTGTACTCCTCCGCAGTATTCGAGCGTGATTTCGAAGAGTATGCTGCGCCGGAAATATCAAGAACACCGCTAGAGGGCGTGGTGCTACAGCTGAAGAGCATGGGTGCTCCTGTTGTCAACTTCCCATTCCCAACACCACCGGATCGTGGAAGCCTACAAAAGGCAGAGAACCTACTTTCTTACTTGGGCGCACTTTCAATCGATGGAAAAGTCACTAAACTTGGCCATGAGCTTTCTTTGTACCCCCTCAACCCACGATTCGCTCGTATGGTCGCAATGGGTGTTGCGCAGAATCTCGTAGCCGAGACTATCGCATTGGTGGCCGCCTTGTCAGTGCCAGAACTCATCATACCAGAGAACAAACTCGGACTGCGGGAACCAACCAAGGATCCAGATGCTACTCGCACCGAGCAAGACAACATCGAAGCCGAAGAGCGCTCACGACTACGGAGAGCCTACAACGCGGCGCAGGCGAAGATGAGCATCAATGCAAAGCAAAGCGACTGCATCAAGCTCAGCAATGCAATCTGCGCCTACGCCTACGAGCCCAACTCGCAAAGATTCTGCGAAGACATGTTCCTCAACGCCAAAGCCATGAACGAAGCCAGCCAACTCCGCCACCAACTCACCAACATCGTCCGCGCCCACCGACCCACCGCAATCAGCGGCTACGACCCCAAACTCCCAGCCCCATCCGAACGCAACATCAACATCCTCACCCAAATCTGCGCAGCAGGCTTCATCGACCAAATCGCCATGCGCGCAGACCTCGCCCCTATCCCCCCAGATCTACCCCGGAAACCAAAAACCGCAATCGACGTCCCCTACGTAACCTTGTTCTCCTCGCAAACCGACCGCACCGACGACGATCCCCATTCTAAATATGTATTCCTACACCCCTCCTCCCTCCTCGCACGCACACCGCCCGCAAAAATGCCAGGCTACATCATCTACTCGCACCTCCAGCGCGCAGCCACATCCACCGTTCACGGCAGTAAAACGCCCAAAACGAGAATGCACCCCTTGACTCCCGTGACGAGGCCACAGATTATTAATATTGCGCTTAACACGCCGTTGCTGCAGGCGAGTAAGCCGAAAGGCAAGGTTGTCGAGTTGTCCAAGGAGAGGCGCGAGTGCGAGGTTGAGATGAGTCTTGTGGGTGAGAAGGGGACGCAGGGGTGGGGGTTGGGGATTCGCAAGGTGGTGCAGAGGAAGGAGGCGAGTGGACGGTATGTTATTGAGAGGATAGTTGGGTGAGGTGTGTTAGGGTGGTGATATGTTGTGATAAGTATGTGTTTCAGATTAGTCCGGTTGGACTATGCGTGCGCATCAGGTCTGGTAGAATTTTTGGTTATTCTGTTTGTAGATAGTACAGCGATGGTACGTGATATTGTGCCTTGACTATATGATGAAGAGCGGTAATACCGCGTTATCCTCTATTCCTTCCCCGTTCCTTCCATCCAACAACAACCCATCTAATCCCTCGACACAGCAGTCTCAACAGCAACCTTCTCACTCTGCAAAACATTAATCTCTTTCTCCACCTCTTCACTACTCCTCGTCTTCCCATCCTCCTCCTCCCTCGCAATCCCCACACACCTATACTTTGCAAACTGCCTTGCGCTCAGCCTAGTCTCGAACATCTCGTCAATCTCCTCCAGCGTGCGATTCTTAACTTCGGGCAGGAAGAAAAACACCCACGTTGCCGCAATCGCGCATGAAGGTGCCCAGATGAATCCGTACCTGGGTCCCCAATTCATGGCGGCGGGATTGATAAAGTACGGGGCTGTGAACGTAGTGAGCCATGCACCGACGAACCCGGCACTGGCAGCTAGACCGAAGGTGTGCGACCGGAGGCGTTGGGTGGGCAGTTCACCACCGGATAACCATGCGTATGTTGATATCATGCCGTTGTAGCTGAACATGTATATAGCGGTTAGCCCGACGGTGACTTTGCCTGTGGCCTTTGCGTTAGGTGCCTTGTGGTATACGACTGCGATGATGAGTTGCAGCATGCCACAGATGAGGAGGCCTGTCATGAGAAGGACTCTGCGGTTTCCGTAGCGTACGACGATGAGCGAGTTTGCGATGAAGGCGATTATGCTGATGGCGGAGAGGACGTTGGACATTGCGAAGGGATCAGTGACTTTGGCCATTTGGAGGAAGTATGCTTTGTATGCTGGGGGGTCTTCAGTATGGGGATTCTATGTATAATTGAGGCTTCTTGTTTACGAATGCTTACCGATGATGAACATGGAACCTGAGGCTGCTTGAAGGAGGACGGCAAAGACTGCGAGAAAGGTACGGCGCCGGTCGACGGGGTTGCTGAACATGTCGACCCATCCTATGCCAGAGCTTGTCTCTTTTTCCTTTTCGATTGCTGCAAGAATTGCGGAGGCCTCTGCGCGGGAATCATGGCGCTTTGGACGGAGCCACTCGAGTGCCTTGACGCCTTCTTCAAAGCGTCCCTGCAGGATGAGCCATCTGGGACTCTCTGGGATGAACCATACGGTACAGAGGATGATAAGCGGAAAGATGTATATGAGTCCAAGGGGAATGAGGTAGGCGGACTTGTCTGGGCGTTTTGCCGTCCCCCAGTCGACAATGGTTCCAATCAGTGTTCCGAATGAAACAAAGAAGTTGAAGCCAGTGAGAAACACGCCGCGCAGTTCAGCTGTGCTACTCTCCTGCAGGTATAGTTGCGAGAAAGTCATAAAGTAGCCATTCGCCAAACCAATGATCAGACGTCCGGTATAGAGCGCCCCAATGTTTTCAGTGGCCATCATCAAGACATTGGCGATGCAACAAATGACGCATGCTAGAGCGAGGCACATACGGCGACCGAAGCGAGTAGAAGGGACGCCAGCAGTAGCGGAGCTGATAAAAGCCCCGAGCGTCATGAGTGAGGAGATGAGCTGTTGTCTCTCTGTCTTGATATTCCATCCTGTAGGCGTCTTGTTTGTACGGTAACCAAAAACCTAGACGGACGGTCAAGGACAAATTCTCTGGCAGACATTCTCTAACAATCATGTACCTCTAAGAATCCAACCATTGCTTGCAACCCTCCAATCATGCCAAAGTCGAATCCGTACTGAAACGGGCTCAAGATAACAACGCCACAGGCGATGAACAAGCGCGTATGGTCGCGCCATGTGTATCCATGACTGTCGGACATGGTAACGGATGTGATGAAGTGATGTGAGACCGTGCCAGCAGATTCAGCAGTGCATAATTGAGGAAACATTTGGTTGCCTTATACGTTGAAGATCATTTGCCCAGACTGGGATGAATGCACAACGATTTACCCATCTGCCGGCATTGTATTGCCAAGGCATGCTCCGCAGGGCACCTGAGTTACACAACCCCACAAGGCGAATACTCTCCGCTCGAGTACAGCCAATAGAGGGGAACACTAGGCAATGCATGTCATCTAGACGTTGAGAGGAGTGGATGTAAGAGGATGGCTGCAGTATGGATAGATTATGCGTAGATCCTTGATTTTTGTATTGTATGCTTAGTTGAGAGCAATATTGACTTTGTTATCTCAGTTGCAGAGTGATGTAGCTGTTCAATGTGGCCATGTATGCTTTGCATGCCAACAAAATAGAGGGTTTTCCACTTTGATGCCCGAGGTCTGGAAGTATTCAACCGGATGAAGCAGCCAAGAAACGTGGCTGCTCATGACAACGAAACTCGGTATTAACATTCCGTTCGGCAAGGGAATCGAGTCAAGATAGGCTTGGAAAGTATGGGGTACGGCAATAGTGGCGTTGGGGGTTGTGGGTCGGCCGGTGGTTGAGCGGGGAAATCAAAGCTTGATTACATGGCATGATGTTTGAGGGTGAGGATTGAGGCACAAGAGGTAGGAAGGGAGGCTGGTCCCTCCCACCCCACCATAAGTACACTCTCTTAGACCATGCCGCGCATATCAACGTCACTCATCCGCAAGGCGCGTGCGATAGATTCTCTTCTTCCCGCTCTTCTCGCACCTTGCCGTGACCTGCAGGCTGCGCAGAACGAGTTGCGATGGCTGCGCGAACACGTCGAGGCAGTTGGCCAAACACGACGCGCCAGGCCGGACAAGTGGGCCAAGAGAGCTTTGCTGCGCCAATTGGTTCACGAAAGATCACGAGGAAAGCCACTCCAGTATATACTGGGCACAGAACACTTTGGGGATTTGGAGATAAGATGCGAGCCTGGCGTACTGATTCCAAGGTATGAGAAGTTTACAGTCCTAACGGCTTTGACTGATTTCTGCACCAGACCAGACACAGCGGCTTCAGTCACGCATCTTGTTAGTCTTCTTCGCAACTCGAAGAATCTTCCACCAGAATTGCGTCTTCTTGATCTCTGTACTGGTACCGGCTGCATTCCCCTTCTCTTTCAACATGAATTATTGTCTGCACGCAGCGACATTAACTTGCGCCTTCTCGGCGTCGACGTGTGTGACAAAGCACTATCTCTGGCTAAACACAACCTACAAAGGCTATTCAAGGACCGACAACTCCAGGTCAACGGGCAAACTCAATTTCTAAAAGCCGACGTACTGATTGACCCGTTCGTGGATGGATACGGACAAGCCCTTCCGTTAAAGGCAGCCCTCAACTATGCTTCGCAGCCGGTTTACTGGGACATAGTCATTTCCAACCCACCCTACATCTCACCCTCTGCCTTTTGGAAGACTACAACGCGCTCAGTGCGTAATTTCGAACCAAAGCTTGCACTGGTGCCACCATCCAAGGACAAACACACAGACACACAACAAGGCGATGTGTTCTATCCGCGTCTGCTCGATGTTGCACGAGATGTGGAGGCTAAAGTGGTGCTGCTGGAAGTCGCTGATATTGAGCAAGCGCTACGTGTGGCTAGGATTGCCAGAGGCTTGAACATATTCGATGGAATTGAAATTTGGAGGGAAGATCCCAATGCTCCTACCGCCAAGACAAGTAAAGATGGCTTTGACGTTATTGGGCAAGGAAATGCCAGGACAGTCCTCTGCTGGCGAGGTCAAGGAACAAGTTGGCTCGGCAAAACCACCACTACTTCTGCCACGGCTGTAGCAGAGAGTGCGAGCCGCTTGTTCAGGGACACTCCAGCTACATCGATGAATTCTGCCGAAACTTGTTCGCCCAAGGTAGACACATATGACTTGAGGCCTCAGTTCGACTTGAAATTTTTTTCACAGCAGGATTATCAGTCCACTCGCCGTTTTTGTAGCCGGAACTGTAAGCAAGATTGGATGCTTGACAGACACTTGGTCCAAACAAAGCCCTGATGCTCAAGGTTCTTGTGCGTAAAGGGGCTAGACACAGATTCGCTACTGCATAGCAACACAGAGACTATAGGGTTAGTAAGACGATGCGTACAAGATACGGCGACTAGAGATTGGTAAAGAGTCTTGGGAATGCGCAAGAGCCGAGCCTGCCAGGGGACCTGGAGGCTGGCGGCGATTGTCAAATTGGTATTACACGGGTAAAATGGTATCTGGATGACGGCAGCTTGATGGAGGAACATCTTGTCTCGAGGAGAATGATGAAGCATCAAGAATCACCTAGCCTTCTTTGCTTGAGTCTGGAACAGCTGTCGCTTTCTCCTGTCCTCCCACCGCGCCCAGCCAGAATCTACCAAGTCCTCCTGAATGACGAGGTCTCTGACACGGAGCATCCTCAAAAGCCACGTATCGAGTGCCCACTCAATCCAACCTGCTCTCCGCAGGTAGGTTGTGAATGCGAACCAGGCCAGAGCAAAAGTGGCGCCGGCGGCACAGCCAACAATGACCTGCTTGGGGGTGTGGTAGCTCAAGTATATACGACTGACGGCTACAGCAGCGGCGCCAAGCAAGGCGAGGAGTGAAAGAATGATGCGGCCGCCCAAGGAGAAGGGAGTGTGGGTTTCGGTAGGATGCGGGACGTGACGGAAGATGAGGAAGAGGGCGAGGGTGACGGAGAAGAAGGAGACAAACTGGGCATGTGAGGAGGGCATTCCATAGCCTTTGTTATGCATTTCTAGTTGTGTAGCCGTTAGTACAGGGTGCTATTTGGGTTGATGGACTAGAGTTGGGTGGCCATACGCCTTGGTCGCTCTTCCTTGATATATCTCTTGAGCACCCAATTCAGGGCCTCGCACGTCATTTGGCCGGCAAACATGAGGAATATCTCAATCTCGCGGTTCGACCATATCAGGGTCGCATAGACGACGCACAGGGCCTGAGGGACGAGAGCCAGCCATGCGCACACCCACGAGACGCGGTCGGCCGGGTTCTACAAGCGTCAGCAGTGTGCGGGCAGTGGCTGTGTGGATGCACCAACATAGTACACATGGGTGAGGGAGAGCGAGGCAAGCGGAGGGCCGTCCATAATGCAGCGACAATGAGAGTAATGACGACAGACGCTGGATGATGGTGGCGCATGCACATGCCTGGCGACGCCCTTCAAGACTTGGCGCGGCGCGGGCAAGGTACGCCACGCCCCGCCCGTCGCGGCTCTCACTGACAATTGACTCTCCTGCCTATAGATGCATCTAGTATCTGAGACCTGTCCCTTCTTATCCCCCTTCACCATGGGCCTCTTCAAGGCCTCTTTTTCCTTTATGCGCTATCGATAGCTGCCGCCGCCTCCGCCGCCACCCATTCGCTATATCAGCCCACCCTTCTCCCCCCGCGCCCGCGACACCAACCCGTCCAACGCCACCCACATGGCCGAAGCCACTTCATACAATGAGCGCGCCGAAGAGCTCGCCACCCTGCAGTCAATCTATCCAGAGCTAGTCATTCAAGAAAACAATCCCTACCAAGCCACTCTCCAACTGCTCATCGCCCCGACCAAGCCCATTCCCACGACCTTCGAGCCTTCGCAGCATGTCGAGCGACTTGCCTACCTCCCGCCCTTGCGCCTCGATATTTCCTTACCAGAAGGATACCCCGCCCAGGTTCCACCTGTTGTAAAACCCTCAACTTCGCCATCATGGTTACCCGGGAACATCCAGGCTGCACTATCCGCTGAGGCGCAATCGCTATGGCATGATTATGGAGGAGATACCGTCTTGTTTGCTTATATCAGTTCCTTGCAGGAGCAGGCCGAGACTGCTTTTGGTCTGCAAGGGCTCACCCTTCCCGCGAGCATTCAAAAGCACATGGTAGACTATGCTCGGCATATGAAGAAAGAACTATTCGACAAGGAAACTTTCGACTGTCAAGTGTGCTTGGAACCCAAGAAGGGTTCCGCCTGTTATCGTATGGCTCGCTGTAGTCACGTCTTCTGCATCGCCTGTCTACAGGACTACTACAACAATTGTATCAACGAGGGCCATGTCCACAATGTCAAGTGCATGTCCACCGAGTGCGGTAGTAGCGCCAAAAAGAAGGATCGACTCTTGTCACCAAAGGAACTGCTACAAATACCCATATCACGTAGCCAGGTCGAACGCTACGCGAAGCTAAAGCGAAAGAAGAAGATTGAATCCGACCCGACCATTGTCTTCTGTCCTCGATCCTGGTGCCAGGGTGCCATGCGTACGGACAAATACCCCAAAATTACCGATGTCGGTCAAATGGACGACTCAGACTCGGAACCCGACGACACTTCAGAGGTCTCAATAAGCGCCGACACTGGGCCTGAAAAACGGCGCGTGGGCGTGAGGGGCATGGAGAGGCTGCAAGTCTGTGAAGACTGCAATCTTGCCTTTTGCGTTGTCTGTCTGGCTTCGTGGCATGGAGACTTTGTACGCTGTGAGCCTCGAGATGCTACTCAGCTCACCGAGGAGGACCAGGCATCACTCAACTTCATCGCAAGGAACACAACACCATGTCCGTATTGCTCTGTGCCTTGCCAGAAGTCTGTAAGTAACCTATACTTCCTTGCGCCTACAGCGCCCTCTGCTAACACATATCAAAGTACGGATGCAATCACATCACATGCGCTCAGTGCAAGACGCACTTTTGCTACCTGTGCAGTGCCTGGCTTAATCCAGATCATCCATATGCCCACTTCAACGATCCAAAGTTCAAAGATTGTTTCCAGCGTCTCATGGATGGGGCTGAAGGTGACATGAACAATGGCGAGGTTCGATTCGGTGGACGGCGGGGTGCAGAGCAGCTTGCGGACTTTTGGGAGCAAGAAGCTCTACGCATACAAATGGGCGAATTCGATGATACATGATAGCATTCATAAGCGCTGGGTATATAACATGGCGCAGTTTATGCATCAATATCAGAGCTGTGAACCTTGCAACTTTTCCCTGTCTTCATAATGGCAATGAAACTGCCCGTCGGCCTCGATCTTGTATATCTCTTGGTTGTGTGACACCGGGAGAGTCCTTAATCTTCTCAACGTCTCCTCGCCGACTTGCAAACTCGACCTTCTTGCTCACCAGCTCATCCAACCTCTCGCAAACATCCGCATAAACCAACTCGACGCGTTTCTCCATCTCATCCACCATGTCCACCGTGCTCTCCTTAAACTCAGCCAGCTTGTCGTCAAACACACGGTTGAGATCCATGATGCTGTCTTCCTTGATCATGGCCACATCAAGTTTCTGCTCCTCGAGTAGCTCGTGAAACTCGTCATCAGCCGCGCTGCGAAGTTGCGATGCATCTTCGAGTGTCTGAGCATATATTTCTTCAAGTTGAGCTTCGAGGCGAGCGGTTGCGTGGGCATTCAGCAAGTTGCCGAGTGAGGATATTAGTTTTGGCCTTGGCTTTGGCTTTGGAGATGACCGAGAGAATGATGTTGAAGGTGATGATGAACAAGGAGCGGCAAGCACACGAGGGAGCATATCTGGTAGTATCGCCTGGAGCATTTGCGGAAGCATCGTTTCCAGTGTGTTCTTGAGTACATCTTGAAAATCAGGCGCGCTGGTGATGGGAGAGGGCGAACGTAGTTTGGGGCTCGGTGTTAACACCGATACCGCCGACGCCTTTTCAGTCGGTGATGATAACAGACATGATGTAGGTGAAAGCAGCGCGCGCTTTATAGATGGTTCAGGTGATGGGCTGGTTGTGACTGAACGTACATCTTAATGACAAGTCGAAAGAGGGTCTAAACAATGACAGACTTACCTTGTCTTGGACGTTTCTTAGACGATTCGATATACGGGGGAGGGGCATCGGACGCGACATCATCTGCTGGGCCCAAGATGGACCAGTCTGCTAGCCTGAAATGTCTTGCCGAAGACGGATCCACCGGTATCCCAGTCAGCTCTCCCGGACGTTGGATTAAGTGATCGAATCGAGCGTAGTGGTCCTTGTGTAGCCAGTTCCAATCAAACAAGATATATATTTGAGTTGCACTGGCGAGTTTAACGAACTGAGCAAAGGCGGTGCCGAACCCCTCCTTGGGCAACATTGGGCCGGGGGATTGAGGGCACCAGACAGGGCAAGGTGCCTTGAGGGTTAAAGTCAATGTTTTCAAATGGGCGTTTCCCTGCCGAGCAATATCATGCAGCCGGTCCTGTGGAAGGCTGATGGGTGAGGGCTGGACCGAAGTGTTGCCGGGCACCAGATTGTCAGCATTGTAGAGGAGGGTGAAGGTTTGCTTATCGTCAAATCCTTGGATGGGCAGTGAGTATTGCAGAGAGATAGTGGCTTGCATGCGAGCCTCGAGATATTTGATGGTTAAGCAACATGGCCATTGTGATGCACCACCAGACGCGAGAGAAGCCAGTACTGGAATGCCGCTTTTGCGGACGAGGTTGTAGATCATTGTTTATTAACTGTACTATACTCTAACAAGACTCACATAGAAAAAGCGATACCCCTCTTGCTCTAAAATGTCGTAGGGAAGAGGAACCCACCCACCCGGGCTTTGATTGCACAGTTGGCAATGAGCAGCCCTGACTCTGTCGCGGAAGCTCTCCCAGCCACCTCGTGAACCGCTGACCACGCCGTGTCCACACAACTCGCGCCAGTCTGAACAGCACCCCTATGAAAGCCGAAAGCCAGCACGTGAGCTAAGCTGACGAAACTGTGCAAACCGCGATCGAAGGCCTTGTGAGATTCGCAAGGATGGTGTATTGAGGCCTGGCTACGAGAAGGCAAAGACGACAATGTATCAACGGCTGACTGGGTGTGTGTGCGCTGGGGGGTCGCAGTCTGTAGGTGTCGAAGAAATACGTATCGTGGAGGCCAGCTGTGTATGTGCGAGGGTTGCGTATGATGGCGGCGAGCTGATTGTGATGGAGAAGAGGTGGAGAGGGGGCTGTGGGGGCGTCATATACGCGAAGGAAAGCGCGTTCAAGAGCGCGCTAACCTGATGCGGACTAATGGCAAAATCCCGCCATACCTTCACTCCTTACGCAACCACCTACCATCCTGGTAAGTTTAGCGACCTGTGCGAGTGAGTGTGAACATTCTGTATGTACGCATTGAAGATAGCTCTTTCTTGAAAAAGCTGAGGCGAGGTCATATTTACAATCTCAAGAACCAGCCTAGCAGGAAGATACAACAAATAGACTCACGCGCAGGCACTGGCTTGCCTGCTTTGTTGTTAGTCTGCAACAATTGGGTCACTGGAGGTATACTTCTGTCCGAGACTTCTTTTCCCAATTAGGATATCCCTTGCCTAAATATTTCATGATCCAAGTCCTCACTATAGGGATAAAACTCTGACTCTAATCCCGAAGTAACAATTGCTAAATTGACTACACAGCCCCTTAGCCCCACGACCAGATAATGTCACCTATGTGAATAGAACTATTTATAAATCAGGTTTAGGTCTTTTAGAAATGGGAAAGGTGCAGGCAAGAAAGACAGCCTAACATATCCACAAGTGATGATGTTTTTCACCGAGCGATCAGCAAAACCAAGGAACCCCAAGCACAACATAATAAACAATACCGTCGGCGAAACCACAGCAGCTGCCATTATACGAGCACAGGACATCTTGATAGAAGGAAATTGTAGCGGTCGCTCCACTTCATAAGTCCAGCCACTTCTCCTTTATCTACCCCCATCAAAGCAAATACACACTACCACTTAACCACCTAATAACCCAACTTCTTGTCACTCTTTCTACACCAATAAACGCTTGATAAATATACCGCCATGCGTTTCGCGATTTTCACCATTCTTCTGGCTACTGCCGTCGTCAACGCCAACCCCGTCCCCGAAAACCTCGGTGACATTGCCACCAGCGCAGAAGATGCACTGGCGAAGGCTGCAGCAACCGCACCTGAGCTTGTGAGCCGCAAAGATTGGGTAAGAGTGTCACCAAACACATTGTTTACTTGCTACTTTCTAACAAGCTTTCTAATAGCTTTGCGACCCCGTGCTTCAGAGCTGTGGCACTGGAGACCCCGCCGAGGCTCATTACTGCCGACCCGTACGTTACTCCTCCATTGATATATCTAATAAATATTATGCTGATCGTGGCTTTAGAACTCGTGCACTGGATGGCATGGATGCATTCCCTACACCACTTCGACTGGCCAGAGATACGCATGGTGCTCCTAAGTGCTGCCAATCGCGCTTGTCACCTGTCAGTGCTGCGGATATCCTGTATACTCGAGTTCGATCCTTTGTATAGTTTTAATACTACCACAACGTCTAGGTATCTCTTGAATAGCTCTTAATCTATGTAAAAACACCTTATTGTCCTATCTTTAACTGCACATCCTCAATTATATACCACACGTGCATTTCGGTTTTTGATGTAGAGAGCAGTTTGATTCATTTCTCATCATCTTGACTTGATATGGCTTGCACAGGCAAATACAAGACGTTCGAGATATATGTAGGAGGGTATAATAGTACCACCTGGGATATAGTGATATATGTGAGGTGAGCCTTGAGAATTCAATTCAGTTGGGTGGTAGCTCACGTCTAAGATGCAAATACAGAGACAACGAGATGACTGAAACTTGCTGTAACAAGGCAGAATGAGATTAGTATGTTACCATTGTCCTTTTGTGCACAGCGACGAAGAACAATGAAAGAATAATTTGTTCAACACATTCGGAGTATCATTGATATCAGGCTTTCACCACTCCTATTTCAATTCACGGACCAATGATTATGTTTTCTGATCTCTTCGCTTGCCAGATTACATGATGAAGGATATCACCGAGTAGCATTGCCCGGCAATGTATGTCGATACTCATTCGACTGTTCAAACCAAGCATATGGTCAATGAGCAACCATTTCAGCCTCTGCTGTATGAAGATATTTACTCTGGTTAGCTCACAGGATATCTGCAGTTCATCTGGTTGATGCTACATATGATGTGTGGAATCTCCGTTTTGAGCTAGCGTTGGGTGACGTGAGCAATATGGGAGCATCTTATATTATACCTTACAGAGAGTACAGTTAGACTAGCTGGTAGTCAGAGCATGTAACCCAGCGAGATTAGTCAGAGTCTCACGGTTAGGGTAGTCAGGTAGCCGGGCAAACATGTAATCAAAGATGCAATCTTCTTCGATACTACTTCCGCGCTGACAGCATACTGTTCAAACAACCCCCTAAGCATTATTAGCATTTCCAGAGTGCATGAGAATTGAGCTAAATAGCCTGTTGCCACACGTATTGTTCCTCAGGACCAATCTGAATGTGGTAGCGTTGGCTTCCGCGGACCCGCGGCTTCCCTGTCTGAAACCCTTGGAAAAAGGAGTCGTCATGCAATGGTACACCAAACCACGCATCAACTCAACCTTTGCTTTTCATCTAATAATCTCCCAATCCTACTCATATCTACATCCCTCATCGCTCATGTCGTTATCAGAGATGAAACGAGGTCAGGTCATCAAACTTTATAGTCGAGCGCCAGGGCAGTATGGCAGTCAGAAAGAGACGGACGAAGGCGGAGGAACGAGCAACTTTTCGATGTAAGCTCGCCATGGCGCATTCCATTGAACCGTAGTCTTGTACCTAGTGTCGCAGTGCAACGCCAGTATCGGTTGTGTGTTCTCTGGGAAAGGTTCCCAATACGGAAATATCATGACGAGTTCGTTGGGGGATTTACCCGTTCCCGCCCCCGCCACACACGTATTTCCTCGGCAGATGCTAAGTAGAGCTTCTTCGCCTCAAGGCTTTCAACAGCAACTCTAAACCCCTATCGCATTTCGATCTGTACCATATATGCGCAAAATTGGATATTTCCCTACCCTGTATAGAGATGCGGCTCTGTACAATAATCCGCGAATGATAAATTGTATGCTTCATTTGCAACCCCGTTGTCCCTGGAAAGCTGACCGCTTAAGCACCTACTTATATGGTAGAACCAGCCCGGCGGATCCCTACATGATTCGGTACCGATGCCAGCAAATGCGGAGGGTATTTCATGCGGAAATATAATTCGCGACGGCAGTTGATTTGCTACAAATCGAGTATGCTTAGATAGTACTCGCTTACTGACACGAGATTAACGAGATCTCGCCATGTCATTGGTACCATCTCCATTGCAATCCTCGTGCATGCTCATTTTCCGACTACTGAAATGTTTCGAAACACACTCACGTCATCTTCCAATCTGCTGTTGTGTGACACGGCTGCTGTGGCCCACCTTCCGCGGGGGACTGATGCAATCGGGCCGTGGAGGTCGAATCTCGGTGCTTATTCCAGGACATCACCGCATAATTGCACAAGCTTCCCCAATACTATCTGTTCTGCACAACTGAAGGTGACCCATTTTAAACTTTTCAGATTGCTTATTCCTTTGATATTAGCCTAAAAATCGGGTGGGGCTTACCCGATGTCAGACACTAAAATGACTTACTCGAGCTACGCTATGAGGGCCTTAAAAGGTTGGGTGTCCACGCCTTCTTGAAACCAACCAGGCTTTCATTGTACATCAGTGAACCGAGCTTGCGAAACATTCTTTTCGTGACCGATTCCACGTCTCCAACATGTCGGTTCAAGCTTACGATCCCCCGATTATCAGCACCTTCCACCAGTGCGACCCTGCAGCCCACGTCTGGAAGCATGATCCCAACACTGTATACATCTATGGATCCCACGACTGGAACTCGACCAGGCAACCCCCGGTGGTCAGTATTTCAGGATTTCTATGTCGCGAATGCAAGTTGACGAAAAAAAACAGCAATACGACATGAAGGATTACTATGTGCTTACTCAGACCGATTACACCAAGCCTGCTACAGTTGGACCAAAGGTACATAGCCATTCTTTGACTAGAGATTGGTGGAATTTGTAACTGACAAAAAAATAGCTTTTGGACCTCACAGACATTCCATGGGCGTCGCAGCAACTCTGGGCTCCTGATGCGACGGAGAAGGATGGCTACTACTACCTGTTCTTCCCAGCCAAGGACAAGGACGATGTCTTCCGCATCGGAGTGGCCAAATCTGACAAGCCGGACGGAAAATTCAAGCCCGAACCCAACCCGATTCCTGGCACCTACAGTATTGACCCCACAGTCTTGCAAGACGGACACGACTATTACATGTTATGGGGCGGACTGTGGGGCGGCCAGCTTCAAGCATGGACCAACAACACCTTGGTAAGCCTCCGCCTTTCCCGCACAACCCCAGCTGTTGGCAAGCATGGCCAAGCGAATGCTAACGCGATTTCCAGAACACGTCCGCATTCGGTAACATTTCTCCTACTTCCGGCCCAGCCATTGGGCCCCGTTTTGCCAAGCTCTCGGCCAACCTCACCTCTCTCGCCACCACACCAAAGGAACTCGTCATCTACGACCAAGACGGCAAGGTCATGCAGGCAGACAGCCCGCGCCGTTACTTCGAGGCCCCATCTCTGAACAAGGTCGGCAACCTCTATATCCTCCAGTACTCCACCGGCACCTCGCACACTATTGAAATCGCTACCGCTACCAAGCCTGACGGTCCTTACTACTGGAAGAACACGCTTCTGCAGCCTGTCAAGGGATGGACTACCCACGAGTCCATTGTCAAGTTCAAGAATGACTGGCTTCTTTATTATGCTGATTCCTCGCTTTCTGGCCGTGATGACCTCCGCAACACCAAGGTCAGGAAGGTCTTGTTTGAGGATGGTACTTTCAAGCTTGCTCAACCCCAGCCTGTAGTTAGCTCTTAAGGCTACGACATTTTTTGTATTCAAATTCCTATATATTTAACATGCGGTTTAAGCTGGCATGCTCATGATTCCATAAATTACTGAAAGCGTTGTTTTCTACACATATAATTGCCAAGCAATTATATTGATAGTATATATTGCCAAGATGTGAACCAAGTTCCTGGGATACTACTGCTTCCTGTGTGTGACGTATGTGGAACCATAAGCTTGGTATAGAGTAAACTAAACTGGAACACGCGTTTCTTACTTCAAGAGCGAACAAGAGTAGACAATGAACAATGATATTTGGTACAATAACATGAAGCTACAGCTCTTGGTCCAGCCAGCTAGTGGATTGAGTAGAGCTACATAGAGTATAGATAGCGGTAGGTATACAAGATGCAAGAGTGTAGTAAATGCACTAGTACACCAACAGAAAGCTTACGTTATACCCTACTCATTCATCAACTAAAATGGACCGCTGAATAAAGTTCACGGGACAGTCCGTACCTCCCCCGCATTTCTAGGCACGGTAAACATATGACTTCGAGTCTCTCTCTCTCCACCAAACTAACAAGACAAGACTACCAAATCTGAAAAGACAATTCAGTTGTTTAAACTACATTCTTTTGAATCCGAGTTAGGGAAGGAGTTTTTACAAGTTTTGGTACCGAAGACGCTTTCTTGTCTTATTCTTCTCACATGGTCCCCACTTTAGTTTCAGTGTTAAAAAGGGCAAAGGTTATTGACCACCCCTATAAGGTAGGGGTCGGCATTGGTGTTACACTGTGTGTAATTTACGCCTTCCTCTCTTTTTTTACCCTCCTCTCTCTTTTTCTCTCTTCACTTTTCTCTATCTTTCTCTCTATTACTTTCTCTTCTTTCTTTACTCTTATTTAAAGAATTAGAGTTAAGTAAGAAGAAGAAGAAGAAGAAGAAGAGAGAAAAAAGTAATAAATAATATAGAAGGAGAAGAGGAGGAGAAGAGAAGAGGTAGAAGAAAAAGTAGAAGCAAAAGTAGAGATAGAGAGGCGTATTTTCTCACTTTCTTTTTTTTACTTTCTTAACTTAAGATAGAATAAATTTTATTACAACCTACGCTAAGTAGGGGGATCTGCTTATGGGGGTGATGAATAGCTCTTATGGGGGTGGTCAATAACCTTTGCCGTTAAAAAGCCCTAAGTGTATCTAGCTACTTCAGAGACCCTAGTTCTAGACCAGTATAGACCAATACAACCATTCAAATAAACTTATGACAAAAAAAAGACTACTTCGATTCCAAGTCCCGTATATCGATTAGGTATGTATTATTTCATAACTAAAATGTCGTGCACAACCACTCCTTCTACAGGCGGAAGCGTCAAGCACAACTCTACCCTCGTACCCAAAACTATCAATAACCCCCTTCCCCTCCCCAACATTTCTTATCTCTCCCTTTTTCTCGCTGAACCCCACCAGCTCTCAAACCCTCAAACACAAACACTTTATGTCTTTTTATCACGGCAACTGCTATCCTTGCCCGTCGCACCCGCAATCTGACACCACTGCCTCCAAGAACAATTGTTAAACGTAACCTCCTTTGACTTGTTGGCTTTGCACTCGCGTGCGCCATCGGACCCTTGACTCGGATCCGCCATTGAAGCTCTGTCGCCAAACCCGTTACATACTTGTGCTGTGACGCGGTCGTTGGGAACCCCGTTTGAGTCGTAGCAGTGGCAGGATTGATAGTTGGAGCAAGCACTGGCTGCGAGGGGGAATAGAAGGAGAGTAAAGGGTGAGAGCTTCATTTTTGTGGCTGAAAGAGGGAGACGGTTAGTTGGAGGTGGTAGGAAATGGAGGGGAGGTAGGTCGTACTTTGTACAGTTTACACTATGTGGATGAGTGTAGTAGTGAGGAGTTTGAAAATGACTTGATGTTGCTGTTGTGATTTGTCTTTAGGGGTAGGAAATGGTTTATACTTATAGTCTTTTTGTATCCTTCTTTGATTCTCATCCGGATGATTCTCGTGAGCCAATAGAGTAAAGTAATACTACCCTAGAGAAAGACACGTGGGCTTGGCAAAATTAGTACAGTGAATACTATAAGAGAATCCACTTTATCGGGTAAAATCAGCTCCTTGGAGCTGAGCCTCAAACGAGCAGGTTATTTGCAGCCATCATATGCCAGCACGGACACAAGTAGAGTGACATGTACAACCACTATCATGGAAAGCATTAGGATAGGCACGACATCCAAGTCAGGGCCTGTGCACAATCACGTTTGAACCCCGATTCAAGTTCCAGAAACAGGGGTGGGACTAGTAACAACGAACCATTGCAATCATCTCGGTCCGATACAGCAGCATCAAAGTGGACCGGACCTCCGATTCATTTCCCCTCTAGCCACAATCACGGATAAAAAAGCCAAGGAAAAGCAAACAAGCAAACAGGCAAAGTCCTTGCACTCGGTAGACTTTCTCCCTATATACAACGCGCGCCACTATTCATCATACATCAACGGGGCCAATGCTTCGTATTTCGCCAGTCTAGTAACTAAGCTCCGACCAAGCTCCGACCAAGGCGACTAAATGCTTGTTTTTAACTTACTCACCTAACACACGATCACTCGCATCCACACTATGCTATCGCTACCAAGAATCCTTCGTCTCGATCCACCCTGTTCCAAAGAGTCAGTATTAACCCCCCCAAAAAAGGGCCGTCGACAAGCAAAATGCCAGTTTGAAAAATCCTCCGCTATCACAACCAGCAAGTGGATTCGTTATCCCAGAGTAGTAATTGCGCATAACAAGGGATAAAGTACACTAATTTGTAGGGATGATGGCGTTTGCCGGCCAAGAGAGAAAAACCTCCGGCGCAACAACGGGCCACGTTCTTTCCCTCTTCTCGACTGGCGTACGGAACAAAAGAAAGGAACGAAACTGGGGCAATCTTCTGGCACACGTTGATCGTTGCCAATCATCCGTGGTTTCGGTCGGGCCTGCTCCGAGGACTCGGTCCGAGTTTTACTTACTTTAGTACTCACTAGTACGTAGGTTGATGCTGACATGGCACGTTCCGCCTTATCGTTCATGTCAAACTTTATTCTCAACGTTGGTGTTTATCATGGGACCTTTTTTCCTGCTATTTGTTAGGGAGATTTTGTGTGGCGAACACTTGGTGGTCGGGTTGAAATTCTGGACTAAGAGATGATAAGTGTGCATGGCAGTCCAGTCCCTATCAATCTTTGCTTGTATGTATTATGTGCGTACAAAACCCGCTTGTTTCGCATTGTATTATCTCCTATTGCACGTCTCTAAGATTATACGCGCTATTCAGTTACCTGATTGAACCTAGTAGTGGAGATTCTTGGATGTCGGGTCAAGATAAGTAGCTACTTTTAGCTGTAGTTCTAGCACTTAGTGTAATATGTTCTCTTGGCATTCGAAGTCCGTTGATAGCACGTGGGTTTTATTCGTAAAGACGGGTAAAGGGATCCTAGTTGGTGGGGGGATCTAAGCTTCCCCAGGCCTATTTTCGAGTCACTGAGCTACGTGTATAGCGCTACAGCTAGTGGATATCGGACCTAAAGAATGAATTGATGTACAAGTGGGACCTGTGCCGTGTCTACGCTAGTATTTTGGTCGGCATTTGTGTAGATGACGGATCTACTTATCCACCTACTGTAAATTGACATGATGTGCATGAACAACGTAAGCTGCTCACTAAGTTGCTAGGTCTTTAGTGGTCTGTCACAATCTGCCATCTCGAATCATGTGAACTTTGAAAGTGATGGAATGAATAGACAGTTCAGATAGGATGTACATTGCTAGTTCATGTACATAGGTACACAGCCGCATAATGCAGGGCACATTGCGTGATCCACAAGTGTCAGGCATACAGCCATTCCATTCGTGGAAAACACCATGTGAGGGATGCATATCCCTACACGGGGTATAGAGAGCCCCTTCTATAGGCCGATTCAACAAGGTATCTCAACAGCCCCGAGTCAGAGCTCCCCTTGTTCACTGATAGTCTATCCCGAATAGGTTGATTCGTGCTAAACAACCACCGGCGAAATTGATATTGCAATCTGAAAGCAGATAGAACGGGTTCGAAGTGCAGCTTGGTAACCTCAGAAATCTGTATATAAAGAGGACAAGACGACGTGCAAAGGAGAACCACCACTCACAACAAGATCCAGCCTTCAAAGCACATCTTCGGACTTCAATCCCTCCAAACGCACTCTTCAATCCTTTCTCAAGAATCACTCTTGTTCCACCACTCTCCTCCATCACCATGCGTTTCACCGTCCCCTTGATTGTCATGGCCGCGGCCCTTACCAACGCCGCAGCCATCCCTGAGGCAAACGCCTTGTCTCCTGTCATCATCACCAGCGTATGACTTCCATATCCCCTCCAAAAACCCTCTTCCCAACCTAACCCACAATAGGACGGCCTGACCTCCGAGGTCCTCGACCTCGCCGCCGATCTCGAGAAGCGTCAAACCCCCTCCGCCAACGCCCAAGTCATCGGCGACCACTCTGGCGCCGCCGGTCAAGCCGTCGGCCGTATCTTCAACGCCCTCCTCAACAAGCTCCTCCCCCTTAAGGACTGGAACCCGGCCCGTGAGACCTTCACCAAGCAGACCACCGCCCTCATGTACCAGAACAACCCAGACCGCAACCGTTGGGTCGCTACCGTGTGCTACAACAAGGGCTGGGACGTCAAGGACCGCCGCGCCATTTCCGATGTTGTCAGCATGACGCTCAAGTTGGGTGCTTTCCACACCAACTACGACTGCATGTACATTGGTCGCCACAACCAGTTCTACACTCAGTCTGACGGTGGCTACATCAACGTTAGTTTCCCCTCTCCATCTGTTACAGAAATATTAGTAGAAGAGAAAAAGAACGAGTACTGACTTTTGGGACACACAGCTTGCCTTCCAGTACGACAGCAGGTTCTGCAGCTACGATGGAAACACTGCCGATCTTACTTGCAACTAAGAGTTGTACAGACTAGGGTCGGATGGTTTGGAATTCTTCTTGGGCCTCTTGTTACTGAGTGGATGAGGCATTGGTGATTGGTAGCAATAATTGCAATGCATGATTTTGAGAATATTAGTTCCTATTGTGCTTTGTTCTTGTGACTATTCGCTACTACATGTTGCGATTAATCCCTAAAGTGATTTTTGTGCACAACGAAATGCAATCTGATTAGTTTTGAGAATCTCTATTGGTGTTAGTGCTGAGAAACTAGTGCTGGGAATGACCAAGGTCACAGGCTACGACGAGCTTTACGATGCTAGACAACCTCCAGAAATTATGTCCTCGCCCACATTGTCCCTGGAATTACTCGCCACAACTCCTGTGTTCCCACTTTCACAAAATCAGCAACGTAGACTAATCCTATTTATCATCTGAAAAAAAAAGTCAGGCTTGCAAAATAAACATTTCTCTCAGCCATATAAATCGAAACTTATTTCGCAACTTTGAAATTCGAAGATGCCCGGTTTGCGTGGGCGCTGCTGCGAACGTTGTCTGCAATTTTCCCCTTAGAAGAAGAAAACAGCACGACACGATCAAGAAGAATGGACTGGTAAGTTCAAAAGGCGCAAAAAAAATAGCTGTCAAAATTCGGACGAGAAGGTAGAGAAAAGTAGGGAAAAAAAATAAAGGAATATGCTGAAAATGGTTTTCGGTCACCCGGCACACAATTGTTTTCTCATAGTTCATAGCATCAAAAACATATCTTTTGATCGAGGTATAGTAAGCTGGACGAAAATTCGCGACTACGGAGGTTAGTAAGTTTACGTCCAGTACCATCGAACTCGCATATAACGACGCTGCTGACTTGGTTATGCGATACAACGCCTTTCCACCACAAGCAATAAGTTTCCAAATTAGGTGGGGGGAGTCTCAAGTGAGGTGTGCAAGGGGGTAAGTAGTAGTAGTAGTAGTAGTAGTAGTAGTAGTAGTAGTAGTAGTCGGTCTTGAAGAACAAGGTACCTGCATGAGTAACTCCGTCAACCTGGTCGAAACGACAACCCGTACACTTGCGTTGCACAAAGGCAATTAACAACGCGCTTAGTCACAAGGCTCTCCCCGCGTAGCAAAACTCATGTAGCCAGGGATTTTTCCTTTTCGCGGTTATTTACGAGCGAAGCCCGGCGTTGCGACTAAATTAGGAATAGTCAGTTTTGTTGGCAATCATCATACTACTAGTTGACAAGGGTGTCGCAAACGCCCAAAGTCTCATTCCTAAACCCCCTTAAGTAGTTAGCATACTAATAGCAATACTGTTCTAGACCTCGCTCTGTGAGTCGTAAAATGAGTCACCTGTTGGAAGTGGAAATTTGGGTACTGCAGGATTGAGGCACAGTTAGGAGGTACACTTAGTAGTAGCGCGGTGGTGGTGCCAAAAAAAAAGAGACCCCTGGGAAAAGCATTGACTTGGGGGGTGCAACTTGTATTTTGTCGGTACGGCAGGATACAGTCAGTGCTTGCTGTGTACAAGTAAATACTGGATGTTGTATTAAAAATAAATCTACAATCACTGGGAAACAATTATCGGCATGGTGTGAGTCTAAAACCTCATGCCGAAGAGAGGCATGTTCCTGATGGCACCGTTGCTCACGGCACCACTGCTTACAGCACTATTGCTCGTAGTAGCAGTCTTGAAACTCGTGCTAACAGTCTCTACACTCTTTCTCTCAGTAGTAGTACTAGTAGCAGTGGTAGCAGCAGCAAGCACATCCTCCTGCACCGCCTCAAAAACATCAAAAACGCCCTTGCCTCCACACATCTCCGCTTCATTACCCGTACAAGGAACGTTGCAGTCACTCTGATTCTCCGTCCACTCTCCGCCTACGAAGCTGCTGCACCAACACTGATTGCCCCCCTGTACACCTGCGTAGGTAAAGACGCGGCGGTAGCAACTATCCTTGCACTTTGCAACAGTCAGAGCTGCATCTCCGTCTGCATTCAAATTCTGCTCTAGGAGCGGGTGGGTTGGATACTGGGCATAGCAGCCCAGTGCGTTCCAGGCGGTGGGGGAAGGCGCGGAAGAAGAAGAAGAAGAAGAAGAAGTTGTGCTCGTAGTGGTGGTGGTCACCTGTGAGGAAGTTGTCTTTGGTTTCCAGGCGTCCAGTTTTCTTTGAGTGATGGTGCAGTAGGATTGGAAACGCCAGGGCTTGCAATCAAGGCCAACTGAAGGGTTCCATTCATGAAACTCTGCTGGAGTGACTACGTAATAAAAGGTACAGGATCAGCACGAGGGTAGGTTGTTAGCTGTCTGAAAGGAGCTTATTGCCGTGGAGCTTGCGTATGTATTTGCAGGTATCGCCTTCGCCGTTGTTGAACCATTCCGCACAGTCGTAGACCGTATCGGGGTCCCATTGGAGGAGTGGAGTGCGTGTCGAGACAGCTCGCTGAGCAAGCGCTGTGAACAGCAATGCCAAAGAAGTCCTCATGATGCAAGCTTACTAAAAGATAAAGTGCAAGGAAGATGTCTTTGAGGTGAAGAAATATGTCAGACAGAAGTCTACGGCACTCTTTGTGAAGTTGGAAAGAAGGAGGATAAACCCTGGCTCTCGCCCATAATGTAATCTGTTTACTCGTCCCGACTCCCTGTGACTACTTGGTACTGAGTTCTAGAACGTAGACACAGCCGGGTCTTGGAAGGTGATATCGAGCATCCTTCGGCTAGGCCACCTGCCTATGTGCAGTAAGGCTCATAGCTACTATAGCGTTTCTGAACAGACGCAAGTTCATCGTTCGGATTTGTCGACCAATTCGGAAGGCGTCGCCAAGTACCTCGAGGCGGCTTTTCTGCTTTGCTCATCTCGGTAGAAGGAAGCGCGCGCTAGTACTGTGGAGATGCCCTTGTGCACGTGCAAAAGTCGCCCCATGTTGTAGTATAGCCGGCCCGTTTGCGTCCACGTTACAGAGTGTGGGTGAAATACCCCGGCCCCTGCTCACCCGCACCTGCATTGGTACTTGTATCGGTCTTGGTACAGAAGCAAGTCAGCCAAAATTGGGCCTGACTCTCTCAAGATTGTGTCAACCTACCTTTTGCCACACCGGATTTGATCCGGATTTTTTCTAATGGTGCAAGGCTAAGTGCGGAGTGTTTAGCATTGAACACATACCTTGGTGTGATAGCCTTCGCCTGCTTCTTACAGCATATCAGCCCTTTTGCTGCCCACTCCCCCGACTAATAGCTGTAGTGCTAGCATCATTGGTCGCCATCCTGCATCATGGCCACTTTTCATCCATTTCTTCGGCTCCCTCAGGAGCTTCGAGAGCAAATCTGGACGGACACAGTCGAACCGCGCACTGTCGATGTCCGGCGTTTTCGAGAGTGGTCTCAACGCTATGGCCGGCTGGTATCGTCTACGCCTATACCAGCCATACTACAGTCCTGCCGGGAAGCCCGTAACCTTGGACTTTATAAGCGAGTCTTCTTCGAGGTTGCTGCAGTAACAAAATCCACTAAAGATATCCCGTCCGAGATCGCCATCGAGAGATTTTTCACGCCTGATGAGCAGGAGGAAGAAACATACTCCACTAAAACTGAACAGCGCTATGTTTGGATGGATCTCGATACTGATATGATGGATATCGGGGCTTCTAGGTTCGACCTTTACAAGAATATCGCACCAGCAGTCAAGCGTCTCAAATTTGAGCGGGAGAACAGTGATGAATTTTTCTACCGTACTGAAGCACAGCAACTCAAGCAGTTTGTTAATGTGGAAGAGATTCACATAGACTGCGCCGATGGTTTCTGGATGTGGGGTGGAGCTGTATATGACCACCCTTGGCCCTGCGCCAAAGAAAAGCTGCTGTTCATTGACGCATTCGATGGTCGGGTTGCGCGTGGCTTGGAATTGGAAACTATATGTAGAGAGATCCTCATGGCCATGCGGATAGAAGCTACTGGCGCGGCGTTTGATACTGACGACGAGTATTCGAGTTGAATCAGGAGAGGAAAAAGAAAAAAAGAAAAAAAAATTAGGTTCAGCAGCGCAGTTGTTTGTTGGAGAATAGGAATAATAATAGTAATTGGGCGATAATGCCGAGGGGAAGAAAAAGCCATCTATTTTTCTATTTATGTATAAAGAGTATATGGTATGCATGTCTAAGTGTACTTAGGGTATCGAACTCCCCAGAGCGCCTGCACAGTTGTAGCACACAGTGTTTGTCTGTGTGTATGCAGACGCTCGATGTATGATAATATCGCATTCCACCGTTCAAGAGAGGCTGTGCGTGATGAGTTGTTGTTGCTGTTGTTGTTGTCACTTCATCTCGTTTCCCTTCTTGCGCATTATCCGCCCGTCTTAATCGCTCTTTGAACCCTCATTTCTGACCTATCCCGTAATTACTCCGCCGAAATGTCTTTATTGTTTGACTTAGAAAAGAAGATCCGCGTATTCGCCTAGTACGCCTTCTTTACCGCCATCGAAGAAATCATGCAGACCGTCCATGGCGGCAAATTTGCTTGCAATTTCCAGCCCGCGCAGTCGCTCCGCCTCGATGACGTCCCAGTTCCATTCGTCTGGTTGGAAAACTTTGGGTAAGCTGGTTTCGCTTTGCTCATTTTGCTCAGCCGCGGGACCGTGGTATTCCCATCCCTCTGGTTTTGACGGGACCATTTCGGAGTCTATGAGGGCCTGCTCTGGTGGTACTGTGATTCTACCACGCTTGATGACGTACTTGGCAAGTGCAGTCGCGTAAACTGCGCCTTTCAACTTTTCCGGATCGACGTTTGCAGAGCGGCTCTTTGACTTTTTCCAAGGCTGCAGTGTCCAGCTCTCTGGCTGGGCTACACCTGGCTTGACCAGATGAGTGACAAGGTAGAACCACTTCCTGTCCCAGCATAGTAGTCTGGTCCACATTTCGAATTTTTGGTAAGGCGGAATCTCCCTCTTGAATAGACAACTTATCCCGCCTAGCGCGATGATATGCCTGCCAGGTGTGCCTTCTGTGGCTCCCATGGCTCCAGCCACCTTGGCGCCAGACCGGCGACTCTGTTTTCGGATAGCGTTACGCATCAATGCAGTGAAGAGATGGGTGCGTGAAACGTCCATGTCGCTGAAGTAGGTACTGTTGGACTTGTGCAAGTTGTAATCTGTTTCGACGAGGGTGGTCCGAGTCGAGGAGATCATGGGTTGGAACAGGGCATGGGGAGGGATGGGCGTGGGCTGGACGTAAATGTGGTAAAACATGGCGCGAAAGATGCGTATCTAGGTGCCTGATCAGTTTGCTGGCTCACATCTCGTGTTGAGTAAAAATATACATACATGCCAGACAAAAGGCAGGTTCTTCAGGTTGCCCAAGGCAAGAAAAATCGCAGCTATCCTCCACAAACCACCAGGCGCATTATAACCTGTCCAGCGAGCCAGCGCAGCCAGCAGGCCGTCTCTCCATGCCGGTTGCGCTACAAGGGCTGCCACGGATGCGCCTGCAACGACAACGCCAGTCGTTTGCGCCATGGCTACCATACCAGATTTGACCGACGAGAACCCAAGAAACAAAGGCGACAACAAAGAAAACACAGATTTCGAGGTTTGAATGAAAGAACGTTGGTCGGACGAAGTGCAGCACGCCCACCCTAATCGAATTGTCACGTTTCTAATCACAAGCCTCGGCTCGGAGTTTAAAGTCCCGACTATCCATGCTGTCGCATCCATGTCGAAGGCAAAATCCACGATGAACTATAACGCAATCCAAAAAAAAAGTCCGATCGCTCGGCCGCTTGTAGGGCTGGACAAATGACAGGGTTCGTTTATTAATGCTCGCGCTGGAGAAGATTACTTTTTCTTGCCCTTTGTCTTGTCCACCACGTCGACCCAGTTCTTGTTGACGCCTCGCTTCTCCAACGCCTTGATGATGGCGTCCTTTTGCGGGCCTTGGACCATAACCTCCATGACGGGAGCTTTGGGACTGGAACCTTGCAGTTTGTCGATACTCGTGCTGCCTGCACACGTTTTTCTCAGTTCATCGGCTAAAGGCTGAGGAGGGATGTAGTAAGATTCCAGGCCATGAACCTTTGTGACTGTTTTGTTGCCACTGCGTGTCTCGAGGATGATTTGGATCTTGGGCGGAGCGCCTGCTTTGGGCTTCGTGTCTGCGATGCTGGCATCGTTGCGAAGAATTGCGTGCAAGGGAGAGGCGGCCGCGAGCATGCGTTCTGCCAGAGCGTCTCTAGGCATGGCCCCTGATGAGAGCGCCGCGTTGTCAGCTGCCGATGAGCCCAGTAGTGCATCTGCTAGCTGGGGATTTATGCGAACAAGTCGCTTGTTCTTTTGATCAATGAGGTTCTCAGCCTCGACATATGCCAAGAGAATCTGCTTAAGCTCTGCCGGCGTGTAAAGACCTCGAGGATCCGCTTTGGAAGCAGCTAGGATAGGGGCTAATTTCTCCTTGGGTCGGAGTACAGAAACAAGCTTTAATTTCTGGCCGAGTGACGGGTCGGCGGATGGTGGTGGGGCGGCCTTATCGTTTGTACTCGTGGCAGTCGGACCGTCCTTCTTGGGTAATCTGTATGGGACAAACGACTCCAACTGGCGGTCTTTGAAATCAATATCGAGAACAACAACCTCGTTGCCGTCACGGTCCTTGGACTTTATGATGAGCTGCTTGTCAAGATATTTGAGGAACTTTCGCAGATTCTTCCAGCTGGTCTTTTTGATTTGCAAAGAGGCAGTTCGCGCAGGAGTGTAGGTGGGGAGAAAGGGCTGGACGAGTTGCGACATGACATGTGACTGAGACAGAGGGAACTCAAGTCCATAGGTAGGGTGTTGTTTGTTGTGGTCCATGTGGTAGCGCACTCCAAACAAAAAGGCATTTTTGAAGGCATCGTCGATTTCTGGGCCTGGTTAGCTGTTGGGTCTGGAGCGCGAATGCAGCGAGGGTACCTTTTGTCGTCAGCTCCTTGTCCTCGAGCGTGTCGATGAAATCAGGGTTCGAGGGTGCGTCTTCGCCCTGGACAGCGTCGAGGGTTTCGGGCGGAGAAGGGTCGGCAGGGGCAGTACCGAGTGGGATGCCGCCGTCTTGATCATCGTCGCCGTCGAGATGGATAGCGGCAGCGCGGTCCGCGAGGGATGTGTCGTGCGATGTGTCGCTGTCCCAACCTTCAATCGTGTCTGGGGGGTCGCGGCCCGGCTTGCCTGCTGCACTCCAGGACCACAGCTCGTCACCTGCCCAATGGATCGTGGATACGGCATGGCCCTTTGTACCTTGGGTACTTCCCAGAGCACTGACATCGACGATGCACTCGCCCACGGCCATGGGCACGGATGGAGCCTCGAGGCTAGCAATGGCAACAATAGCACCTTTTGTAGCATTCTTGGGGAAGGGAGGGCCTCGCTGGAGGCCGGGCGTCATCAAGTCGGCGCCCTGCTTAAGCTTGTCGACGACGAAGAGCGGGGTGTGCAGCAGGGGAACGATGGCGGGGTTGTGCCAGAGCGTGTAGACGGTGGGGTAGAGGCGGTCGCGCAGCTTGAGCCAGAGGACGCGTTGGTCGCCATCATCGTGGGCGCCGACATAGAGAGTGCCAGTGACGGTGCTGAGATCTGGGCCGGCCGTGGTGGTGAAGCGGGCAGACTGGGCATTGTCGGGCAGTATAGAGCGTCGCAGGGCGGTGAGAGCGGCGGCATCATCAGTGGGCGTGTCTATGGCAAAGTCTGCGATGATCTGGTCGGCTGTCCTGCGCCGGTCGCTCGACTTGAGCGGGGCGAGGGGCTTGATCTGGGCGTTGTCAATATGAGGGAGTGTGGATACAAGGACTGCAGGGCGAGACTTGCATTGGGTTTCTTCTTGAACATGCTCAATCAGTGGCCGTGTAATGTGTGGGCGACGAGGGGCGGCGACATGAATGCGTATGGGTATGTGTGTGTATGTGTGTGTGTGTGGCGGGGCAGGCCTGCACTGGGCAATGACGCTGTGCGGGCTGCTGCTCGCCCAGGACAAACGACGCAGGGGCAATCGACTATGCATATGCACATACGTTGAGCAGGTGCATATGTGCGGCCTGGCCTGGCAACAGAAAAAAACAAAAACACCAAGGGCGGCCCCTATACAAGCAGCGAGGCCCCCCAAATGAAGGTTGAGGAAGCAATGCCCATGACGGCCATGGCCCAATCCTGCCCTCTCCCCGCATCCCAGCAGACTGGCCAGGCCGCCGCCGTTGGCACCGAACCCATGTCGCTCATCCGCCGTGCCCCCAAGCTGGTATGTGTGTGTGCGCGTGTTATCTATGCATGGAGTAGGTTAGAGTAGGTTAGTAGGCCTGTGTAGTGGTGTATACAGAGATACGTAGTGTACAACAGGTACCACCACACCCCATGGATATGCGCTACCTGCTACCTGCACCCTCGACGCACCGTCGCCCCTGTGCCTTGTCTGTGCCTGTGCTGGTGCTGCACTCGACACGTCCACACACACTCTCTCTCCCTCTCCAACACATCGACACACACACACGCCCTTCGCCTCCGTCAGCACTGGCTTCGGCACCGAGTAAGATCACATCACGGCCAAAAACTCTGCACGCGCTGGCCCGCCCAGCCAGCCCAGCCAACCCACAGCACTAGCCCACTATGCGCACTCGGCCCCGGAGCCTCTGTGCCGTCCATCCTCCCCAACTGTCCATGGAATCATGCGGAGAAGCGGCGCCACAACAAGGCCAAACTGCACCTGTTTGCTCCTGTGCTCCCTGACTCCCTTCCCGCCCTCATAACCCCCCTCGACCCTCGCCCACCGTCGACTCGCCCTCTCCGCCTCAGCCATGGTAAAAGTGTTGAGCCCCATCTGTGAAGCCCTACGCCGCGTGACATCACTCTTCTCTTCCTCGGCTTCCGCCTCGGCTTTCCGCCTCCAAGATTGAAATTTTTACCCCAACACCATGAGCCCCCTTCCAGACATGGGCTGGCAGGAGAACCACGTCGTCCCCAAGCCCACCGACCGCGAGGAGCTCGTCCTCGAGGCCTGGGCCCAGGGCTACCTCGTCGGCTCCCTCATCATCATGGCCTTCATCACCCTCGCAAACATGCGCAGAGGCGTCTTGTTGCACAAGGTCAGTCCACTCTAAAAAAAAAGACTGCGCCCCCAAATACCTCCAGCGACTTGCTAACATTTTCCTCCAGTTAATTCTCCTCGAAGTAAGTCTTCCAGCCTTTTGATCTTGCGTCCCATTCTATAAGGCGCCCCACTGACCAATTACCCACTCAGCTCATTCTCGGCTTATGGCAAGGCTTCTGGTTATTCTTCCCCACCCCTGTTCACGCCTGGTGGCTCTCGGTTGCCGCCATCTTCCTTAATGCTTCATGGTCGCTGCACAATGTCATTGCCTGGATGAAGATCAAGCCATTTTTCTCAAAACCCACCAGCTACATCTTCATTGGCACCATCATTCTTGCCCAGCCATACTGGATCCTCGAGATTTACGCAAACTTTGCCTACTTCCACGGCGTCAACAGGCTCTTTCTCAGCACCAGGCCCTATGAGGCTCTCTGCCGCGATCCATGGTGGATTTTGACCACCGTCTACCTCTTCTGGGTCATCAAGACACAGTATGAGCTCAGCATCAAGGAAATCATACGCATCTCTCCGCGCTTCGGTATCATGCTTTTCTCCATGGTTCTCAGCATCATCTTCATCATCATGGACATATTGTCTGTCACCGGCGCGCTTTCTCTCCCCGGCCCTACCGGAATCAATCCTTTCTGGAAATTCGCCTTCGTCTTCAAGTGCTTGACCGACTCGGTAGTTCTTGACGATTTCAAGGTCGCCCTGGACCGTCTCCGCGCTTTCCGAATTAGCCGATTAGGCAGTTTCTCTGGAGACATGAGCGACAGCCGCAGCCGCAACGGCAACAACCTCGTCGCCACCTGGGAAGAGATGGAGAGGGAGGCAAATGCTCTACAAAATGTCCGCAGCCCCGATGGCGACTATATTCATCCCAGCAATTTCCCCTTCAAGCCCAAGCGCGCTCGCAGGCCACACAAGGACTCGGTCATGTTTCCAAACCAACCCGACTACCGCGACTGCAACGCCGGCCTAGACCCCGAGGACATTGTACCCAGTGCGCTAGTCGATGAGCCTACTGGGCCACTAGACAACGGACATCCCGGAAGCAAGAAACAGCATCACTTCATCGACGACATGTATGGCCCTGATGAAAGACACAGGGTCGCCGAAAACGACTACGCAGAAGCAATGAGAGATATGCATCGCGACAGTCTACTCACACCCGCACCAGCCCCTGAGTCTCCGCGGAAATTCGGGCCTCATGGTTGATGGGAGGTGCAAATTTCAATGTCACGTGACTGTCGATCGAGTCCTTGGCATCCTTCCAACCCTAACCCGCGCTCGAGTCTTGGTCCAAATCCAGTCTAGTCCGCATCTAGACATGCGCTTGTCGGCACTTCGACTCACTGGATGCCACGCCACTGGACCCGACTTGATTCTCGCCCTGCAGTCTCAGAGCGGAGCCTTAGTCCTAGCCTTTTCGCCACAGCGGCGACGAGGCAAATTTCTCAACCAGGGGAAAAAAATCAACCAACCAAGAATACAACTTGAACGACGATACACGATATTCTTCACTAGTACCGCCCCTCGAGACTGCTGCCCCCCAATACACAAACAAAGACCACCAAATGGCATATCATGCGCGTAATACCAGGCCTCGGCCCAACTGCAATCTGGCTCATTTTACTCATATACCCATTTGCTTTTTGGTTTTTCAAAATTAAGCGCATATGTCACCTTTCACACACACACAAAAAACACGCAAATATATACATGTATACATATTCTTCAGCCATACATATATATGAAAAGGCCATGTACTTTGTATCTATAAAGCTAATGTAGTTAAGCCGCATGTATTCACACACGCGAGTTGCGTACCTAGACACTAGCAAGAAAGCATAAAAGTAGAAAAGAAAGGAAGAAGGAAAAAACATGTTAAATCAATTAAACTCAATGTGCAATGCACATTTACTCAAATCTTTGAAACGAAAAGACCGAAAAAGAAAGAAAGAAAGAAAGTATCGAAAAAAGAAAAAAAGTCAAAACATGAACTGAGAAATAAAAGAAAAGGCATCTTAATGCCCCGTTTGCTCTCTCAACCGTCCCTTAACACTGACCTAACACTCCTTTTACTCTTCCATGAACCGCTCATAAAAATCAATCATACTTCCTTCACTCTCCTTTTCCAACTCTTGGACGCACTGCCTCGGCGACATGACCCGGCCAATCGTTTGCATCTCCTCTTTCCATTGCTGTACCACGCTCGCCCGGGGATCCGTATGCACTAGGTAAAAATGGCGGTAGTCGCGTCGCATGTCGACGTGCAAGCCCGCATAGTAACGCATCATGGCTAGGTTGGCTGCGGCCGGGTCGCGCTTAACGGTTTTGAAGTACGTGACTGGCTCGCTGTCTGCAATGGTGCGGCGCTCGGAGAGGATGGGGAAGTTGTCGAGGATGCGGCTGAGCGGCTCGGAGGGGTGGTCTTGCTCGATGTAGTTTGTGTCGGATAGGAGAGTGTAGAGGCGGGCACGGCTGTTGTTGGGGTTAGCTTGGGTTCGCGAAGTGAAATCATCATGGGCGAAACAAACCTTTGCATTTCTGCGTCGCCACTGTCGACCCGATCTGCATACTTCTCGCAGTAATTGATTAGATACTTCATTAGTTCTGGGCGGACACATAGACGCCAGAGCAGATTTGCGGTTTCGACCTGGCGTCCCGGATTCGGCAGACCCTTAAGCTGCTTCAATTTTTCGACTTTCGCGAGGAATAGCTCGATGATTTTCAAAGCGAGTTGTGGCTCCTTGTCAAATACCTCGTCGGTAATGTAGATGAACCCGCCGACGGGGAAGATTTCCACCGGACCATAGCCGTATACGGGTGGATCAAGTGACAAAGCAGGATCATACTCGATATCTTCTTGCACGCCAAGCGAACAGACACGAACTTCATGTTGGAGTATATCGCCCAGACCGGGCAATTCGGTGAAGTACTCGAAAGCAGCGTGTACCTGGTACAAGTTAATACAGTACTAATGCCAACCCCATGTGCAACCTACGATGATGACGCCAGACCCTCCGCTCTTGATTTCCTGCTGGAAATTCGCCCACCCGCCAGGAAAATGCATACCACTAACCTCGACATGATGCATCAGCAGCCATCGAGTGATCAACTCCAGCTCCTCCGCATGCTCTTCCGAGTGGTACACTAGGAAAGCTCGCCGATCCATCAGCTTAATCCCTCTTTCACAATTATTACTGCCAAATAATTCTTCAAAGTTGAGATCGCACACGGAGTCAATCCTCTTTAGCACCTTCCCACATGTTGCTTCGAGTGCACCAGGCTCCACAGTCTCCACAGCCTCGGGCGACTTGGGGTGAGGTACATAATCGTTTGTAGGCACCAGGGTCTCTTCTGGTGCCTCAACAGTAGCCCTAGAATCTTGCATAGTCGCCTTATCCGTAGACATATCGTTGCTACTATCTGGTAGAGGACGGTAAGAAGATCTAGCATGGCCATGCGGAGGACGGGCTGGAATTCCAGTATCATAGTGTTGGAACTGGCACTTCTCCGCAGTGTTTCGACAAATGTCATTGGCCCAGTACCAGCATGTCAAATCCTGAGGGGCCAACCTATCTACACTCTTCACTGACTTTAGTAAACCTTTTTTCCGCTCGTTGTGCGGCTTTGCTGGTGTCGATGCAGTCTCTGTTCGCTTGTTTTGCGGCTCCACCGGTTTCTGTGCACCACTTGTTCGCTCATTGTGTGGCTTCACTGGTTTTGGTGCACCACCTTTTCGCTCGCATATCGGCTTTATATTCTTGTCGATTCGAGTGGCGCTCTCGCTAGAGTGATTTTCGTTTGGTACCCAGCCGGTATTTCGGTGGGCAAAGAGACACTTGTCAGCTGGCTTAAAACAGCCAGTCTTCCCGTACAGCCAGTGGACACATGTAAGAGGTAGCCTGCGGTATTTTGGGGGTATAAAACCTCCAGCATGGCCTACGGGGTAATCATTTCCGTCTGGATCCCTGTTTCGATGCAGAAATATGCAGGTTTGTGCGGGCTTTGAACAATTGTTACTGAGCCGCCATTCAGGACACACTTGCGGGATCTTATCCACCTCCCAGGGTGCTAGAGGGACATTTTCGTCAGTCAAAATCTCGCTCGTCGAAAGCTCGCTTCTAGACCCTCGCCGTGCATCATCGCGCTCTGGACTCTTTGTACGGCTCTGGCCAACCTCGCGGCGAGCATAAGGATCATCACGTGGGAATGGAGGTTTTGGCCTGATGGTACCAGACGGGTCATTTACAATCTCGAGCGCTGCCGGATCAGGCGTGCCTTCAGCGCGCGACCGCTTTTGTGCTATTGCTCGGAAGTGTAAAGTGGAGAACGCCTTTTGGCCCTTTGTCCATTCACTACGCAACTGCACCTTTGGTTGGTTTACCACCTTTATGGCACCACTACGTTTGGCCTTGTTAGCATTTCCCTGACCAGCCGAGTTGGCCGGTCTTTCTACAGAAGCAATTGAAGTATCAGAGGCACGAGCCTTTGGTGTTGCGCTGGCAACTTTTGCTTGCTGCTTTTTGGATGTTGAAGGAGGAGCATTCGCCTCATTAGCTGACTGGGGTTTCTCTACCACAGGCGATGCTGGCACAAGCGCCGCCGTAGCCGGTTTAATGCTCTGCGAAACTGCATCTTTTAGAGGTTGAGATGGTTTCTGTAGCTCCTTGTTGGTTGCCTGCTTGGTTTGGTTTGCTTTTGCGACTGGTTCCTTGCTCACAGGTGCTGCAGTGCGTTTAGTCGGGCTGCATGGTGACTGCAATGAATTGCGTCTTGATTGGCCATCATTCGCCGAACCTTTGGTGCCAATTGAACTGTGTGTCGTCTTTTTCGAAATTTCGCCCAATTCAGCCATCATTGAATCATCGGTTAAGTCTGCCTCGGATGCTGATGATAGATCCGGCTGCACTAAAGGTAGTTTACGCGCTGTTTGAGGTTGCTTAGCTGATGATGAGCTGCGAGTACCGGCGGCAGCTTGTGGAAGGTTCTGCTTCTGCGATCGATTTGATGCGGCAAGCCCATCTTCGTCTTCGCTGTCCGACACAAAGAGTGCCGACCGTTTGTTTGACAAGGCAAGCCTCTGTCGCTTCTTGTCGCGCTTTGCTTTTCTGACCGCCCTGGCCGTTTCTGCAGCTTCAATTGCGGCATGGAAGTCGTCTATGTTCTTTCGACAATACCTGTGAAAGTGGGGTTCGCCCATAGACTTCTTACGATCATGCCATGTTTGGAGCAATGGCGGTGTCCCGGACGGAGTGTTGCCATCATCGTCAGGAATTATAAAGGCCGATAGGGGCTCCCAAGTGCCTATGAGGCTTTAGTAAATCGTCGACATGCACGTGGATGTGGGGAGGTGAGATTGCATGACAGGCCACCGCTACAAAAGATGTCGAAATACTTACATCTTCACTACTCGTCAGCCAACTTCCGACAAGGCGGAATGGTCAACTCACTCGTGAAGTGGGTAGCCATCCCATTTGGTCAGGTACTTGGTACCATGGAAGGGGGGCTGGCAAGGATCTTCATCGTCCCAAATATCCCACTTCTCAGCCAGAATCTCCTCGACTGCGTAGACTGCATCGTCAGTGGGCTCGCCCTCGGCCGTCGAGGTGATGGAAATGTCGTCGGCGTCCAAGTCTGTATCGGGTTGTGGAGACATGTGGCGGGTGGGTTCCTGATTGGTGGGGAGCCGCAACTACGAAATGCTGAAACGCTGAAACGGCACGCAGGTGATCGCTGTGTGGGTGCAATTGGCCCGGCACTAAACGGAGCACGCGGTCCTGTGCAAGGTGCAGCAGCAGTGGGCACGCGGAGAGAGAAAGCAAGAGACTATCTATGTGGCGTTTTGGGCGTTGAGCGATGAGGTGGACAAAACAAGCAAACCAAAGCCAGTACCAGACAGGCACAACCGAGAGTCCCTGCGTTGCATGCACGCACACGGCAAGTAAGGACTACGTAAGTGCATGGGGAAGGTGAAGGTCGGGAATGTCACTAGCGGCTCGCTTACCTAAGACAGGCAAGGGCTCGGGCTCGCTCGTTCGCTGGGGAGGGCGCTGGCTGGTGCTTGGTGGAGCAACTCCAGGAGGCAGCGAGATACAAGCACCTGTCCACCACCACCGGCCCCAAAACACACGCCTCTCCTGCCTAGCCTGTCCTGCTTCTGCGACTCCCTCTTGGCTCTGCCTGCTAGTCCCCTCGACCACCTCACCACCAAATCCCTCTTGTCCACCCCACCGCCCAACCGCCCACCCCATCCTCCTCCCCGCCCACGGTCATAATGGCCAACGACGAATATGACGTGAGTGCCCGTCCGCCTGCAGTCGACAGTCTACCGCATCTGCTGACCGCCCGCCTACACAGTTCCTCTTCAAGGGTACCTCCAGGCCCCGTCATCGTCCTTAGACTGCCCCGCTAACCCCCCGCAGTGGTGCTCATCGGAGACTCTGGCGTCGGTAAATCCAACCTTTTGAGCCGTTTCACGCGCAACGAGTTCAACCTCGACTCAAAGTCGACCATCGGTGTCGAGTTTGCGACCCGTTCCATTCAAGTTGACGCCAAGACGATCAAGGCCCAGATTTGGGATACTGCCGGCCAGGAGCGTTACCGCGCCATCACCTCCGCATACTACCGTGGCGCAGTCGGCGCTCTGCTCGTCTACGACATCAGCAAGCACCAGACATACGAGAACGTCACCAGGTGGCTCAAGGAGCTGCGCGACCATGCCGACTCCAACATTGTCATTATGCTCGTCGGTAACAAGAGCGATTTGAGGCATCTGCGGGCAGTGCCAACTGAGGAGGCTAAGCAGTTTGCGAGTGCGTTTACCTGATATGCGGCTTTTGTGTGTTCAATCACATTCATACTAACCACTATTTGCAGGCGAGAACAACCTTTCGTTCATTGAGACGTCCGCCTTGGACGCCAGCAACGTCGAGCTTGCTTTCCAGAACATTCTCACAGGTAGGCGGCCCCCCACCAAGCAGCTCCGAGAAGCATTGCCACTAACCTAACTCCCAGAAATCTACCGCATCGTCTCAAGCAAAGCTCTTGACCAGGGCGAAGGCAGTGGTCCCGTCCTTGGCAACGACCGCAAGGTGCTCGAAATCAGCAAGTCGGCCGACGCAGAGCAGAAGAAGGGATGCTGCTAGACGAACAACCCACCAGCCCAAACAGCAATGCTCCGCCCACACTGTCTCTGGCCCTGGCCCTGGCTGCTTCTGCGTGGCGCATGTTGTTTTGATCGGGACAAGGACGGTGCGCTCCCACGGCGGGCGATACCATGAATGCAATGTGCTACACGAGTCACGCAAATGCCCTCCAATTGGCGTCCAGGAAGTCCCTCGCTTTTTACATGTGCTTTGTGTCTCTGCTTGCTTTCTGTTCGGTTAAAGGTGTCTTGGAGGGGAAGGGGAGGTCTCGATACTTGGTTTTGCCCTGCCGCAAGGCCATGCTTTTATCATGTTTGGATGCGGAAGACGATAATGGAATTGACTGATGTGTATCTAACGTCTTATGCAATGACACTTCATGTTAGATTCTTTTTTTGCGGGTTCCACAAACATACCATGTCACAATCACTATTTGGAGGGAGAGAGATATTCTTGTCCGAGAGAAAGGGAAAATGCAAAATGTCTATTGATCTGGGTATGTATGCTTATCATGCCTCATGAAACGCCTATACTCTTTCTACTGCCATTCATATCGTTAGGTCGCCACGTTTCTTCTGCCTTTGTCCCAGGAGGCAGACACTGTGCGCTCTGCTCAGACGTTCGTCTGTACGGCGACCCGCCTAGGCTATCATCTCTCTTCTCGTCCCTCGACTCGGAAATGCCTGCCATAGGATACATTCCCGTTCCGGACATGGGCGTCGGACTAGCCGTGAATGCCGCTCGAGACTTGACATCAGTCGCAAGCGGGAGTAAGGTACCATGGTCCTTGGACTTGAGCGCTTTTGCGCGCTTGTCCGCCCTGGCGGAATCGTGCGTACGGTCGTAGAGATACAGGCCGACGAAGGTGAGTACGAAACCGAATGCCTGTACTTTAGTCATTGGTTTTCCGAACCAGACAATGGCGAAGACGATGACGAAGACGCGCTTGATTAGACTTGCGACGGAGTACGTGACGGGGGAAACCATAGATAGGAGCACAAAAGCTACTATGTTTTGTCCAAAGTGGAATGTTCCGTTGAAGATAAACTCGATGAATAGTCTTCCATGGTCTAAAGCGTCGGGGTGATCTGACAGTTCGATCGAGGCATCGTGTAGAAAGTCAAAGATGAGCGTGAAGCCCTCGGACCACAACCACAACGGGAGGGTAAAGAGGAACGCAAGTCCAGAGGAGTAGCAGAGCAGATTGAGCTTGTCCGGCTTGGTAAATCGGTTGGGCGGGAGCCCGTCTTTCTCTGCGGCCGCGGCATCGTTGAAGATTTGCTTCGAGACAATGTTCTGCACGACGAAGAGGATCGCGCTGGCGAAAGCGGAAATCAGGCCGATGAAGTTGGCGTTGAAGTCCGCCGAGCACGCTAGAACCACACCCAGAGTGAGTGGTATCAGTGAGAGATAGGTAGGTAGCGAGTACTGGATCTTGAAAAAGATGCTGTATGCCATAACAGTCAAGAGTGGCGAAAGTCCTTTGATAGTATGCACGAGCGAGACTGGTATTCTCGACGTAGCGTCCGCGCTCAGTATATGCCCACCAATTTGAAAGCACGTCAGGGGCAGCGTAGCCATGACCAGTTCCCTAGAGGGCGGGCGGATTCCATATTTCAAAAAGGGCATTGTCTGTTTCAAGCGAGGAAACTTCCTGGCCAGCATGCCGAGTATCAGACACCAGCCAGATACAAACGCAAACTGCACAGTCGTGAGGGTTATAGGTTTGGGCAGCGCGGTAAGAATGGCCTTGGAGGACATGTTTGTGAAGATGGACGTCATGTACCAGGCGGCACACAGCAACTGCGCCTCGAGTTAGCGTTGCGTCATGTGTACCCTGTGCGTGGGAAAGCATACAATGAGCTTTGGCGAGAGTGGTGCCTTGAGCGCATCGGCAATCTCGTGGGCATTCTGGCTGACGCTGCCCTTGCGCGTGCGTATGGTCTTGAAGGCCTCGCTCAAGCTCTTCTGGCGCCCGTGTCTGGTCGAGGGGCCGGACATCGAAGTACTCATTCCGCCAAACCTCGCCTCTTTGCGTGGCTGCCACCGATCTGCGGGCATCGTGCTGCCGTTGATTTGAGTTGCAGGGTTGGGACTAGCGGACCGCGACGAGCTGAGGCCGTAGCCATGGTCTTCCTCGGGCATAGGCATGAGATCGGGTTGGAAGGCGGGAAATTTGAAGGTAGCATTGGGACTGGGGTCCCGCGCCGATGGGGGCGACATGGCGACTGCGGAGCAAAGCGTCGTCGAGGGGAGTGAGGGGGTTTATCGTGAATGAGTTGGTTACGCCATGGGTGGTGAAAGGGAACCAAGTGTCGGGGTTACAGACTGTAGGGAGCACAATGCTGATTACATGTACAAGACGCCAAAAGCCGCGGGGCCTTGTAACGGTAGCGAGGGGCGTGTACCAGGGATTTGGGCGGAGAATTGTCCCAAGAATAGGACGCGGTGTTAGAAAACAAGCGTCGCAATGGGTCCGTAATTAGCGGAGAATTGTCTGGCTAGCGTTCGTGATCCTATCGACACGCGTCCAAAAGCGGTTCGGCTGATGACCGGGGCAAAGTGACAGGGGGGCCGGTAGACAGGCGATTGCTTGGCTATGCGCCACCACCACCACGGCTCGTCAGCCAAGCTCCGTTGATAGAGCCGCCAACGTCTGCGTGGCTTGGTCTTGCCTGCTGCAGAGGCATCAATTGTACTTGGAAAGAAGAGAAAAAGAGCAGGAAACTCCCTTTCTGGTCTATTTCGATTGCATCGAGCAACTCCAGCAGTCATACCATGTTCATGAAGTCGAATCGACTGTCGTCATCGGTTTTGCTTTCCTCATTCTTACTCGTGTTCCAGTGGCCACTAGCTACACGAGCACAAGGCGTCTCCATGTTGTCCTTCGGTGAAACATGGCACATTCTTGGGCCTTTCCAGATTGGGACCAGAGGCACGTCATGAATGAGCACGCCAGCTTGAAAACATCCCCCCACCTACTAACAACTTCCCAGAGGCTTCTTGGGGTGCAGATCCACTAGAATATGCTGGTGGCTTTAGAAACCTCACTTATAATCCAGGCGCAACATTTCCTAGTGCCCTACCAGCGAATGGAACTGCGTCGTGGAACATCACCAAGGCTAAGCAGACCCTAAGCACTGCTGGCTCGGCTAATGCATCTCTGAGCATCAGCTACTCAAATGTCGACTGGGACTTCTTGAAAGTTGTTTACGGATGGGCTGCCGTCCAATATCAGGCTTGGGTGCGCGGCGAGATTGTCGTGGGTGGGAATGCCACTCAATCTGTCATCTTACACACAGACTCTATCCTAGAGTACTGGATCGACGACAAGCATTACTTCGGGGGCGACTACTACAGCTTCCGGCATGCGCCTCCTGTGTTGCATCTTACGCCTGGCTCACACAAAATTGACATCCGTCTGGTCCGCGACGTAAGGGCCTTTGGAGGTATTCTAGCACCAACAATTGACGTTGTAGTCGACATACGACAAGTCACTGCGTCACTCGAACTTGCGAAGCCTGGAATCCTGATGTCTGATGTCATAAATGGAAGACCCGCGTCTACTATCGGGTCGGTATCCTTGAGGAATAGCGGGCAGGAGGACATTGAGATCTTGGGCATCCAACGGTCCACTGCCAGCTCTCAAATGCCATTTGTGGAGAGAGATATGATTGGTCAGACTCCTTTTAAAGTAGACTTAGACGTCGCTGACCAGGGGGACCGCATGTCCTCAGATAATCAACGCACCTTACCCATGACCATAGTTGCTGGTCAAACGAGGCCCGTGTCATTCGATATCCTTCCAGTAGCCAGCAATACGTCTACCGCGGATTATGAGATAAAATACAGGAAAGTTGGCAGCACTCACTCTTCGACAATCTGTGCTTCCCAGCCCTTTAACCACGTAGATCTTTATGCGCCCCATAAGATTACATATCTCCATCCAGGGGGCATGGTATCTTACGCTATGCTTCGGCCTCCTGCCAAGAACGCAAATTGCTCATCTAATCGCTTGAAACTACCAGTTCTTCTGCAGCTTCATGGAGCGGGAGTTGAAGCTGATAACCCCATGGTATATCATGCACTGGACCCCGTGTCAGACCTTTGCGCGTGGGTGTTATTCCCAACAGGCGTTACTACATGGTCCAGCGATGACTGGCACAACTGGGGCTTTACTGATGTGGAAGCAGCTATCGCAGCTATTTCAGATTGGATTGAAAATAATAAATGGACCGGCCCCGGCGTTGATGCGGATCGTTGGATAGTCTCGGGTCACTCTAATGGCGGCCAAGGAACTTGGTTCGCCTTGACACATCGTCCAGACAAGGTGCTAGCTGCGGCTCCAGTATCTGGATACAGTAGTATCCAGAAGTATGTCCCATATGAGCTTTGGCAGGGCGCAGACCCCAGACGCAAAGAGATGATAAGCGCATCCCTAAACAGTTATCGTCATGAATTGCTCATGCCGAACGTGCGAGGCATTCCTATCCAGCAGCAGCATGGCGGGATTGATGACAATGTACCAGCATATAATTCGCGCCTCCTAGCACAACAGATCCATCAGGAGAACGCCAACTCGAGTTTCAATGAGGTTGTTGGCTTCAGTCATTGGTGGGATGGTGTCATGACTACTCCCCAATTAGTCAGCTTCTACTACAGCCAGACAAATAGCGAGGACGTCATACCACGAAAACTGAAGCAATTCAGCTTCCTCGTTGGCGATCCAGGAGACATGGGTAGCAAAGGGGGGATCAGAGTGAAACATTTAGAGGACCCAGGACGATACGGAAGAGTCAGTGTTCGAGGGAACATTATCAAGACCTCGAATGTACAAGATCTTGAATTCGATATTGCTCTTTGGAAGGAGTCGGTAACCATTGACCAGAAAAGGATTGGACTCCCAGGTACGCCAAGTCCAGGAGAGGCAGTAGTCAGTGTCTACAAATCGGCCGACGGTTGGACACTGGGTCCAGCTGGGAAAGAAACCAGGAGCCTCCAACGAAATGGTCGCCAGCTGGGTTCCATGACTGCTGTTCTGCGTACACAAGGCTCTTTCATCATTCGTCATTCAGGGTCTATGGCCACATCGCATATCGCCTTGCAGGTTTCCCGTAATCTCCACCAATACTTCAAAGCAGACACGCAAATTCTCCCATCTGTATCAAATTCTATCCCTCCAGATTCCTCTGGAAACGTCATTACTCTGGGTATCGCCAGTAGTCTCCCGCCATTCCAGTCTAGCTTTCCTATCTATGTCAGTGAATCTGGAGTCATTGTTCGCGATTATCGTGGTCAGGAACACCAGTATGGGGAGGAGGCCAGTGGTGCTGCGTTCCTTCGCCCCCTCGAAGGCGAACGACTGGAATTGGTGCTCTGGGGTTCTGATGAGGCAGGACTGCAGCAGGCGGCACGGATTCTGCCCATTATGACAGGCGTGGGACAACCAGACTTTGTAATTTTTGGTAAAAGTGCAAAGTGGAAGGGTATTGAAGGTGTGCTGGCTATGGGCTTCTTTGACTCTAACTGGGAGATTACACCGGCTAGTGTCATTGACAGTGACATTGGCACATATCAGGCTGATTAGGCATATTTCTAAGACCATGGACTGTGCGTATACTTGGGCAGTTACATCTTTATTGTTGTTGTCTTTACTTTCTTCTTCCATCAACTAAAAGTAATTCCTAGATTACGAAGACCGTCTCTTCATTCAAACCGAATTTTTTTTTGAACTTCTATATCACAGAAAGGAATCTTCGGGTTTCAGCGCTAAAGAAGCTCTCTTAATTTCTCCTTGTTTGACCACTGCACTAATTCTGAGCCAAAAAATGTATCTAGCCACCCCAGAGAACCAATGTATAGCCAACACAACAATTGTCGTTGTCTTCGCTACTGGAGATTCCATAAGCACTTGGACGGCAAGACTGGCACAGATTATACTCTTGGCATGGAGTGAAAGTGAATGCGGAAAATCCCGCCATGACGCGCCTGCCTTCGCACTCACTGCGACTGATTTAAACGCTCTTCTCTCGCCGCCACCCCACCTTCTTCTTTTTGCTGTGGCTTCCCCGTCCCCCTCCTTCCTTTTGTGCCACCATTACTCTCTCTCTCTCTTTGTCTCGGCACCTTCTGCCACCTAATCTGTGTACATTTGAGTTCATCGTCGCTTCTGTATCTACCTTGGCCATATACGACGCCGCCCAAGCCTCAACAGGCATCTGTCCTGCATCTTATCTGCACATTTGCCCCCATTACCCCAGATTTGCTTCCCCACCACCACCACCTTTCGGAACCGCAGTGTTGTCCCTGTACAGCCTGCATACTACGTGAGCTTTCTAGATTTATACCATCTAATCCGCCGCACACAAGTTCAAGTGCCGCGGCCATGAGCTTCAATATCGCGTCCGACGGCTCGCCTACACCTCGCAAGGGTCCCACCCGGTTCCCGGTACCAGGGGACCTCAAAATCGACACTTCACCCGAGGCTTTGGGTCAGGCGGTAGGCAACTTGAGTCTAGGCGGCTATCCATATGCTTTGCAACGCGTGTTTGGCTCGGCATTGACTTCCAATACACAGGGCTTCAAGCGATCACTTGGACCTTCTGCCCTGGGCAATCGACCGCTTCTGGAACCACACAATCCGCTCGATGGTTACAAGGTTCGTGGTGCTCATACTTGCCCCTTGGCGCATCAACTGTACTAATAAATATCATATATGCAGAAGTCCAGCACAGAAGCCGATGAGGATCGAGCCATAGTGGACTCAATGTTGCAGCGCTTCAACAGGCACTCTCCTCTCCATGATCCGTATAGTTCTTCTAGCGGCTCTGTTTCCCTTACTCCAGCCACGGAAGATTTCACGTCCACGCCACCCACGGAGATGGAAAACTCGGTTGTCCTTGTCGAAGCTGTCGAGTTACAGAAGCTGAAGCTTGAGCTACAGGAAGCTCGCAACGAAGTCAATCGCGTGAACCAAGAGATGCACAGCCAAAATGTAGCCCGATCAACCATGGAGCACCTCACCCAATCGTCTGAGCCTGATTATGGCTACTCAGACGACGTCACCGAGCAGACTCTTGCAACCCTACAGAACAAGTTCAACGCCTCGACCCAAGGCACCTACGGCTGGGGCAATGGGTCTGCTCGTCCAGCTCACGTGGGCAGTAATGGATTCGGAGCCCCCTATCCGACCCAGGCACAAATACAGACCCGATCACAGCCCTCACAGTCAAGCTATCGTCGTACTGGCTACTTGAATGAACCTACTCACTTTCCGCTCGACCAAAGCTTCCGCAGCACCAGCAGGGCAAGCAACGTTAGCAACGTGATGAATAGCGGTATGTCTAATAGTGTGTATACTGGCTCTAGCAATGGTATGGGTGTGGGCATGGGTGTGAGCAACAACTTGAGCAACCCGCCTACTCGTCCAAGCTCCGCATTTGATCCAGGATACAACCAATACGCTCTGCCGCCAATGTATCCTATTGGTCACCCGACTCCAATCGGCACCATTTCCAGCAACTTATCTGCGGACGCGAACGAGTTCAACTTCACCAATAACATGGGATCTTCCCCATGGAATACACAGGTTAGTCTTCGATTGTTCTCATACCCGGATTCTGAACTGACAATTGCTCAGGCCCAACCCGAGACTGGCACTACCCAGTACGTTCCTCCTGTCGAGCCTATGAACTACCGTCGTCTGCTAGACCGCAACATGAGCTGCAACTGGAAGTATATTGTTGACAAGATCATCTGCAACAACGATCAGCAAGCTTCCATCTTTCTCCAACAGAAGCTCAAGGTGGGCACTCCAGAACAAAAGTATGAAATCGTCGAAGCGATCATTTCCCAAGCGTATGCTTTGATGATCAACCGGTTCGGCAACTTCCTTGTTCAGCGCTGCTTCGAACATGGTACACACGATCAGGTAATTGCCATTGCTCAAGCTATCCGCGGCAACACTCTTGCGCTGAGCATGGATGCTTTCGGTTGCCACGTTATCCAGAAAGCCTTCGACTGCGTTCCCGAGGAGTACAAGGCAACCATGGTCCATGAGCTTCTCCGTCGCATTCCAGAGACCGTAATCCATCGCTATGCTTGCCATGTCTGGCAGAAGTTATTCGAGCTTCGCTGGAGCGACTCTCCGCCCCAGATCATGCGCTATGTCAATGAAGCCCTTCGCGGTATGTGGCATGAGGTTGCATTGGGCGAGACCGGAAGTCTTGTTGTACAGAACATCTTTGAGAACTGTCTCGAAGAAGACAAGGTATTTGCTCACGATACATGTGATATGTTAATCCTACTGACCATTGTAGCGCCCCTGCATCAATGAGGTATTGGCCAGCATCGATGTGATTGCACATGGACAGTTTGGAAACTGGTGCATTCAGCACATCTGTGAGCATGGCGCGCCCGCTGATCGTAGTCGTGCAATCGAGCACATTCTTCGCTTTAGCACGGAGTACAGCATGGATCAGTATGCTTCTAAAGTCATCGAGAAATGCCTCAAGATTGGCGGCAGCGAGTTTCTGGACCGTTATCTCGACCGTGTTTGCGAGGCTCGCCCTGACCGTCCACGTATGCCTTTGATTGACAGTAAGTGACGATCTCTGTGCTCGGTCAATGCAAGAGAGGCTAATTTCGAGACAGTTGCGGGTGATCAGTTCGGCAACTATCTCATCCAGTACATCTTGACCAATAGCAGCTCCCAGCATCGCGAGCTTGTCGGTGGCCACATTCGGAAGCACATGGTTTCACTTCGCGGTTCCAAGTACGGCTCCCGTGTCGCGATGCTTTGCTGCAACCCCGCCCTTACCACGCGCCCCGGGCCCCCAGCTGGTATGCTTCCACGCTACGGCAACCCGACGTCGCGACCCACTTTTGGCTCTTTTCGGTAGATGTCAAGTCTGGGGCTCCAGACATCGCCGCCCACATACGTACCGTTGGGTATCATCAGCTTGTGCACCCCTCGCTCTCAATCTCGAAGAAGGTCTCGTGGATATGCCCAAAAGCTAAGATCAATGTCGAAAAAATTGTCAGATCGATTGGCTTAAGATGAGCACACTGAGCATGAATTGCTTTCTCCTGACACAACATCGCTTGGTGGATATAGTTTATTGACCTACATGACTTTTCTTGTTTATCCTGACATTTTCATTAGTCGTGACGGCTTTGGTCAGATCAGCGAGGGAAGTCAGGGGCGATATGACGAGCAGCGAACTGGATTGTGCGTACATAGTTATACTTCTTAATAAGCAGACTGATTAACGTGTTTTATCAGTAAGCGGCCCACATCAGTAAGTGGCCCACCCCACCAAACTTGACGCGGCTCTTTGCGCAATTGCTCTACAACAACGCAATAATATTAGATAGAAATAAGAGGTATTATTCTTTATCTAGATTTACATGAAGTCCGAGTAT